TAGCTGGAAAGTCTCACAGACTTTCTTCCCTGGGTTGTTTTCAAGCTGTGATCCTCAGATCTCAGCCTCAGGCAAGTGTTCGTGTTCAGCTGTCTCCTAGCCTATGGCCTGGGTAAGAGAGTGCCCTTACCCAGTGAACCGAGTCACACACAGGTTTTGTCTAGGTAATAACAACGTGTCTCATGGCCCTAAGCAAGGAATGGGGGGGGGGGGGGGGCGGGCAAGTAGAATGTGGGCTTCTGCTGAGAGTCTGGACTGCTAGCACAGTGAGGTGGAGAATGGGTGTGGGGTTCCTTCACGAGTGAGCTTCTGTTCATACAGCACAGACATGCCGGAAGAGGTACCCCTAGTTAGGGATGGGGTCTGGGCTTGTAGACAGTGGGGGTTGCTGCTTCAAAAAAAAAAAACAACAACCCTGTTGGTTCAGAATATACAGCTTCTGCCCAGCCTGGCTGCCCCTGACAGCCTGCTAACGGGGAAAGGACACTACCCAAAAGGACATCAATGGTCACAGCACATGACCCAGTTGATGGCTAGTCAAGTCAATACGGAAGTGGCTTGTTACAGTTAGCTTCATGTTGGGGAAACTCAGCATGGTATTGTAACTATTACCTTCAAAGAGAACCAGGTGAGTTGTGAATGTATACGCAAGGACTCTGCACCGGAATTAGGAAGCCCAAGGGAATCTAAGCCGCTGCAGAGATTGAACATCTTGGACGCCACCTCAGTTGGGTGTGTTTTTCAGGGCACAGGACTACTTTCATTAAGAGGAAGGAGCTTGCCACTTGGGCAAGTAGACCTACCACTGGCAGGGCCTTCCTGACCAGCATTTCTCCACCCTACAGGTATTAATAGCTTGCACAAAATCAAAAGAATCTGTGGCCAGATAAACTTGGTTAGCCCATGGCTAGCTTGACTCAAACAGGAGCTTCTCTGAGCCCTTTATGTGCTGCGGAGGGGCCTGGATGACATTTCTCCCAAACTCACTGGTAGAGCATTTCTAGACTTGTCTTCTTGCTGCCACACTTCTGCAAACCTCAGTCCGGAGCAGCGTCTCTGAGACGAGAGTGTGTGCATGGTAGTTCCCTGGAGAACTTGGTAAATTGCAAGAGATTGGATTTCTGACAAGGGCCAAGCAAGGCTGGTAGACCAGGGACTGCATTGGAGAACCACAGGACTGGACTTACCCATCTATTCAGCACTTGCGATTCATTTCTCATGACCCTTTCTATTTCTTTTCTGATCTATTGTTTTAGAGATGATATACAGCAGGGTTACCTTTACATACAGCAGGTAATAAGCACACGTCCTTTTGCCTAGTGTCACCTGTTCCCTTATTCTCCCATTCCCTCCTACCTCCTCCTAGGAGGTGCATAGCTCACTTTCCTCAGTGTTCAGTGTGCTCTGCTGCTGCACCTTTTCACCCTTCTCCCTCTGATTCTGTGCCTCCCCCACCCTCTCACAGATGTGCACGTGAGTATAAGGCAAAGAATAGAGTCAAGCCACCGGGCGCCAGTGGCTCACACCTGTAATCCTAGCTACTCACGAGGCTGAGATCTGAGGATCGCGGTTCCAAGCCAGCCCGGGCAGGAAAGACTGAGACTTATCTCTAGTAAACCACCAGAAAACTGAAAGTGGCATTGTAGTCCAAGTGGTAGAGCGCTAGAGAGTTCAAGCCCCACGACCAACCAATAAAAAAAAAATAGTCATCAGGAAAAGAAAAAAGTCCTTTGTTTCCACATCTTTGAAGTTTGTTTCAGTATGTATGTTATTTTATATCCGTATGTTGAGGCTCTTTGGTATGGCACCTTTGTCTTTTGAAAAGCAAGAACGATAATGGGACTTAGTCACTACAATGGCTTGTACAGCACAAGTAAGGGTTCCTTTCTTCTATGGCTGCTATGGAGGAGGGAAATGGTGCTTTGTGGAGGGAGGAAGTCAGGGTCTTCCTGCCTTGGCATTGATATTGGGGACATAGTTTCTGTGCATCTTAGTTTCCTAATCTGTAAATGGAAGAAGCTTGAAAATGTTTTTGTGGTTATTTCACTTTGTCTGGCATCCCATTTTGTCTGCTTCAAGTTACTTCCTAGGTATCTCTTGGTCCTGTCCCCATGTCACTGTGCCGAGGTGGTGCACCTGCCAGGGATAAGGCATTTCAGAAGAGCATCCTGAAGAAGTGTGGGATGGAATCCATGTGGCAGGACCCTTCTGGTCTAGTGCAGAGTGTCCGTGTTGCTCAGAGTTCACAGTGGGGGTGAGGTGCCTGGCACAGACTAAGTCAGGATCAGTGCTGGTTGAATATAATCTTAGAGGGTCTTAGGGGACCTCAGTTGTGGACATGCTTGTGGGTGTGTAGGGGTGGGTATGTGTGTGAGAGAGAGAAATAATCTCACATGGGTGTATTTCTGCAGACAGGATGAAGCATCGGGATCATACTTCCCATGGAAGGCAGTTCCTTATTATATGCCCAGAATGTGTAGTCAGATGCCCTGCTGAACTGTCTCTAAAGAGTCTTCAAGATACATCTGAAGTAGCCTCCAAAAGTAACCTGGGCCTCCAAGCCACAGAACAGCTGGTCCCTCACGCAGCAGTGATTGGCACAAACACAAACAAGTAGTTCACCTAGCCATCTCCTGGTGTGCTCAGCAGGTGGGCACTGCCCTCTGCTGGCAGAGGGGCACTAGCTGGAGGAGCTGGAAGAAGAGGTAGCCTTAGGTGTCTGGAGCCACAATAGTCACTCAAGCCTGGACCACAGAGAGATGATGAGTTTTGGGGTCCCACCTTCCATCCACCTACCACAACGTGCACCCCAAAATTGCCAGCCCACGATCTCACCCCATCCTCCACTGCAGCTCAGCTGGACTCTGCCACTCAGAAGCAGCCCTGCCACCAGGTGGCGCTGCCAGCTCTGGCACGTGTGTGATTGAGCGCTTGAGGCCTAAGCCAGACCTAGACAGGCATGGGGGGGCGGGGCAGGGGGTGTGGGCTGGTGGCCAGGGGCTTCCTTCTTGGGTCACCTTCACCCACCCCGGACCCACGCCACCCACTTCACAGCTGTCCCTCAGCAACCCACCTAATGTCTCCTCTGAAACTCCCCTTTCGGCACCCCTGCCCCACACCTAGGCCACACTACCACCACCGCTCTACACTGCCCCAGTGCACACGAACCACCCCACTGTGTTGAGGAGCCCAGTCCCCAGCGCCCCGCCCCCACCGGCCCAGTGCCCGGCCCCCCTCCCCCGCCCCTTCCCACCTGCATCGGGAAGGCAGCTCCGACTCTGCTCTCCACTTAGTGAGCAAGTGGACTGAGGCCCACAGCCGTGAGCACGGTAGGTACCGCGCCCCATGCCTCCTCTGTTGAGTCCCTCTTTGCACCCCTTCCTCCCTGTCCTCCCCCCTGTCTTTCTCTCCTCTCAGCAGTGGTTCTTACCTAACTGCAGGGAGCCTTCCTCCCTCTTCCTTCATCTTCCCTGCTGCAAGAGTGGACACCATGGTCGCACAGCCGAAAGGAGCGGAGCCTGTGGTGGCTCCCACACAACACACAGCCTTGTCCCCTGCACGGGCTGGGCCTCTTCTAGCTGCTACCTGCCGTCTGCTCGTGCCTGACATCCCCAGAGGAGACCTACACAGATGGCCCGGCGGCTCGCGGGGGTTTCTGCTGTCAGAAGCAGCTGAACATGGATCCTTGGGCCTGCCGAGCCCTGGTGTCTGTCTCGGGCCAGAGACTGAGTCTGGCTCCGCATCCAGAGCGCACAGGCCCTCTGAGCAGGCCCTTGAGGCGTGTGGAGCAGGGCAAGGTTAGCGGCTCTGGTTCAGCCTAGTCCTGGATCCGACCTGGTGGGGCTGTGTGGCTGTGGGCACTTGCAGCACCCACGTATGAACAGGCGGGCAGTGGGCTTTCGGCAAGCCCTGAGCCCGGGGGTTGACGGGCAGCCAGAACGGCTCCTGCTTCATCCTCATGCTTCTTTGTTTGAATAATGCTTTCTCCTGCACCATGGGAAGGCGCCGCTGCCGCCAGGCCCTCTGCTTTCCATGTCATTTCTCTTCTACTCGCAGTAGGCTTCTGGTGCTGCTCAGTGCCAGGAAGCCGGCCTTCTACAGTATACAAAGAGCAGCCACAGGCAAATCCTGCCCCCATGCAACATGGTCAAAATGGTCAGGGGCAAAATGGTCAGGAGGCGGATGCTTGTCACGTACAGACTGCTTAGGCTGTTGGTTGATTTTCACATTTCTCTTGGAACCTTCTACCAAGCAGCCAAAGCATCCTTCACTGGCAGTTGTGTCATGCTGGCCTCCTATAGAGATCTAAAAGAAGCCAGGCACTGGTGGGTCATACCTGGATTCCTAGCTACTCAGGAGGCTGAGATCTAAGGTTCTTAGTTCTAAAGCCAGCCCACGCAGGAAAGTCTGTAAGATTCTTAGCTCCACTTAATCACCAAAAAAGCCGCAAGTGGAAGTGTGGCTCAAGTGGTAGAGCAAAAAGATGATCAGGACTAGCACCTGGTACCTGAGTTCAAGCCCCAGGACCTGCACCAAAAACAAAAAAAAAAATCTACAAGAAGGGAGAGCTGCTGTCTCACCCGCGAGTGCTCTCTACCAAAGACTGCAGGTCCCACCAAGTCAGAATCCTAAACTGAATCTCAAGTTGTGATCAGGCCACTGTCAGGAAAGGGTCATGCCCTGCCAGCCACATGCTCCTCAAGAAACCGCAAGGAAGGCAGCTGCCCTGGCTTGGGTGCTTCACCAGGCTGGACTGTGCCTCCAAATGGCTTTTGGCGTGGAAGGGGGAGGCGAGGAGGAGCTGGTACTGGCGAGGCAGGTGCTTCCCTGAGAACTCGGACTGTGTGTTCACAGGAGACAGCAGTGTCCTGTGGTGCCTCCCGGTCCCTCCAGAAGTCCCATGAGAGCTGGTGTAAGCTAGTACCATTGAGGAGCAGTGCGAAGCTGTGAAGATCATGAGGTGGGACCCCTGGCTCATGGCGCCTCCTGTGTCTTTTCAGATGCGCTGGCTCCCTCCCTCCGAGGCTACTTCTCAGGGCTGGAAGTCCCGTCAGTTCTGCTGAACGCTGTGTGAGTACTTGCTCTGTGCAGAGCATGTGGATGCATGTGGTCCATGCTGCGTGTCTGCAGACAGCAGCGGACACCTCTTCTACACACCCAAACCTTCTGCACTATCCTGGTTGTTCATCCAAGGTATCTCCTTCAAGAGAAGGTTTGCGTCTTGAAGGAAAGTGAGAGATGGGGACTGTACTGCTTTGGGGGGGTTGGTTGGTTTTTTAATGTTAAAATCGGATTCTTGTGCATTCAACTTTGCAACTAAGCTGTCAGCGCCAGTTTCTAGAGAACACGTTTAGGAAATTTTTTATAGAATGGTGGCATAGCTGCTCTCAGCATTAAACAAAAGCCTTGCTCAAGCTGAAAGGAGTAAGTCATCCACTGAAATGCTTAAGTTTCTCTTATGCTGTTCTTATAGGCTTGCCTTACGTGTTTTGAGTTAGGTGGTTGTTTTGTTGATCTGGGGTTCCAACTAAAGGCCTTGTGCTTGCTAAGTACAGTCTACCACTTGAGCCATGTCCCCAGCCCAAGATTTCTTTTTGTCTTGATGGGAACAGTGTTATCCACTTTGGCTTCCCGCTGCCATCTGGCACCAGAAAATACTTGTTACTTCATAAAGCCACCAGTAGAATTTTCCTTATAAATGGGGAAGTGACAGCATTTCTCCAAAACTTCTAAGGGCTTTCTGTAGTTTAGTGTGGTCACTGGATCCCTGTCAAGGGCAGAGTAGCCCTCGGTGTGTGACTTCAATGAATTGTCAGAAAAATGAGAGGAGGGTGGAACAGACCTTCATCCCGTTGGAAACATGGGAGACTCCTGGCAAGCTGTGCGCCCATGTGTCAAACACTAACATTTTAGTCATGGGCCTTAGAGAACTTCTATTTGAAGATAAAAATAGTTCCAAGTAGAACTGATACTCCATTTCTTCCCCCATCACTACAGCTGAGTTCCATGTGCTGTGAGAGGTCACTTGAGGCGCTAGGGCCTCTGTGGAAAGAACTGGCCTCTGGCGACCTGGGTTCTAGTCGAGTGGAGATGAGTTTGCGAGCACTCTTGGCTGAAAGGTAACAGGAATGACGGATGCCAGAGCTGGCCTCGTGAAGCTCAGTGCCCTCTTATGGGAAGGAAGAGCTCTGAGTAGGATTTTTAAACAGTGCTGGCATTTGTTCTCCACAGGCAAGTTGCCCCTTTGGCCCAAAGTGTCAGTTGGTGGGGCAGGCCCCTTTCCCCATCCAGGGAGCTGCTGCGTTGGCCTCCCTCAGTGTAGTTCTGAGCTCAGCATTTCCAGCTGAACTCCTGCCCTGAGTCACAGGGAGGCCTTTGTTTTCCAAGGAAGAGCTTCACCCAGCGGGAGCCAGTGAACCCAGACCAGAGGCACAGCAGAGCTGGGCAGGTGCTCTAGGAACAAGAAGAATATGGTGATTTCTATGAGTGAAGAGCCTTCAGTATGGAGATGTCTGTTGGTGGAGAATGTGTGTCAATGCTGACACAAGGGTCTGGAGAAGGGCTTTAGGGCTTTTAAGCATTTATATATAGGCTGAAAGGAAGGCAAGCATGATTTTCACTCAAAGATCCTAGGCTGGGCATCAGTGGTTCATGCCTGTAATTGTAGCTACTCAGGAGCCTGAGATCTGAGGATTGCGGTCCAAAGCCAGCCCAGGTAAGGATGTCCATGAGAATCTTATCTAAAAACTAACCACCAAAAAAACAGAAGCAGAGCTGTGATAGAATACTAGCCTTGAGTGTAAAAGGTAAAGGGACAATGCCAAGCCCAAAGTTTAAGCCACAGTACCATACCAACACTTAAAAAAGTAAAAGAAAAGCATCTGGTCTTTATCTGTACCAGTACCAGGCTATCAACTCAGGGTCTTGCAAATACTGGGCTTGTTTGTCTGGCACTGTGCTACTTAAGCTATGCCTCCAGCCCAGCTTTTTTTGCTGGAATTTTCTGTCGCAGCTGGCCTCATACCTCACTCTTCAGATTGAGCTTCAATTGCTTGAATGATAGATTTGAGCCACTAACACCTGGCTCAACTCACTGTAATTATTTCCAGTTCATAATACTCCAAGCCCATTAAGAAAGCCTGTTAGCCAGAGGCAGCAATGGCCACCAAAATAGTTCTAGCGATTATTCGCCTTTCAACGTACAGATCTGAATCAAAGCATACAAGTCTCCTGAGGATAGCTTATCATGGACTCTAGGCCAGACTTTTACCGCTGTCCGGAGAAAGGCAAGAAGGGAAGTGAAGAGGGAGTGTGGGTAATAGTACCCATTACTGCTGCTCTCAGAATGAGGTCCACTCAGTTATGGAGCCATTGCTGCAGCTATGGTCTCTTGCATCAAATTCTTTCCAAGACAGCTAATACTCCAAGCTACGTAATCCTAGGGAAATGTAAATTAGAATTGGAAACTGTGGTACTGATGAGCTAATATAAACACATTGCAGCAAAACAAGTTTGTCAAAAACAAACAAACAAAAGTGCTCCTCCCCCCCCCCCCCCCCCCCCCCCCGTGCCACTGTCCCAGCAGCCTCCTCCATTCCTGGGAGAATTCTCTTATGTGTGGTCTCTGCAATCACATGAGGGCAGTAAAATTGCCAGGTATCAGACACCACACCCTGCGTGTCACTCACTCCTGGTGTAATGGAGTGTCAAGTGACATTTCTCAAATCCTAAAGTCTACCGCCTGCTCTCTCAGAGGCTCTTGGGATTTTTAATTTATCCATTCTGGCCTCTTAGTGCTAAAGAGAAAGTAATGACCAGAGATGTCAGCTAAAGTAGCTCCTACGTAAACATGCGTGTGTCTGCTGTGTGCAAGATCCATTCTGTGCCCCCTACAAGGTCCAGGGTTTAACACGATCGTGGTGTGCACGTCATACACAAGACCACCGTGCCAGGTGCACATCTCCTCTCTGTCCTGGTGCTGAGTGTGCTAAGCGTGCGGCCTGATGGATGGTGCTGTTTGTCTGCATGCCGTAGCTCCCCATCACTCAAGTTTTGGTAATGATTCAGCCGTGTGGCCTAGAACCACAGAGTGCGCGATACTGTGTGGAAATGATCGGTTTGCCATACACATGAAGAGCCAGAGGAGCAAGCTTTTTGTCACGCTCTAGGTCATCAGAGTCACACAGCCTTCCTGGTGGGATTGGGGGCAGTGTAGATCGGGAATATTCTTAGAACTCATGAGATTTACCAGCCGTGTGCACCAGCTGGCTGTAGCTGTGCTCTGCAAAGGTAGCTCCCTGTGTGAGACCTGGACATTGAGTCTTGGTGGCCCAACAGCTCAGCTCAGCTCAGCCCACCTGCCTAACCCTCCTGTTCCCACCACTCTTCATCAGCTTTTCAGAGACATGCAGGTGGCTTGTGCGCTCCGCTTGAAAGAACGAATGCATCTGGGGGTCATCTCAGAGCCCACCAAGGCAAGCCCACTGTCTGCACAGCCATGGTTGTCATCGTTTCAAAGTGGGGGGCTTCTGAAAATGGAGGGTCGGGGTTAGGGAGCCTTCCTGATCAACTTAAACCCAGAGACGACGAGTCAGTGTGACTCCTTCAGCCAGCAGCATTGCACCGGCGAGAGGCAGGGCTGGGCGAGCATGGGGAGCTGCTTGCTTTTGTTTGTGAGGGCGAATATTTGTGTCCTTAAATAACCCAGCTTTTACCAGGAAACTAGATTCATGCATACTCATCTGTAAGCGTCCTCCCAGTGGAACTCTAGGGAAAGCGTTTTTCCCCTTAATTCCAAGAAGACACAAGTCCAGGAGGGCAGCCTTCCTTCGGGCTCCCCAGCTTGCCCTCCTTCGGCCTCCAGTGCCAGCCACACCCTCAGCAGTGTCCAAGTCCGAGTCCAGGACTCAGAGTTAGATTTTGTTACTCTCCATCACCTGATCCAGGAAGCCCTGTGTGTTGGAAACTGTCTCTCTCGGACAGGGTTAAAAAAAAATCAGCCTGACCAGAATGGAAGTTTGAGAACTACTAGGGGGCAGAAGCATTGGTACTGACATGCTTGGAGCTAGGCTCCTTTCCTTGGCACCAGGAAGTCTGTGGCCAACAGCTGGCCCAGAAACAGGCCTGCAGGTGAAGAGTTTTTGCTGAGTCTCTGCTCCTTCATATTTTAAACGCTGAGCCCTCCTGTGGCGTCGAGGACACGTTCACAGATGTGTTTCCTTTGGGCTTTGTTTTCCAGAAGGTGCTGGGAGCAGAACTTAGTCACTGAGCTGTATGACAGCACACAACTCTCCTATGGCCTGCGGCTGTCCAAAGCTGTTTGGGCCTGAGACAGCTCCTCGCACTCCCCCAGGACTAGTTGCCATTCTGAGCCTGTGTGCAGCCCCAGAGTGTTTGGGACAGTGCTCAGGGCTAGCACACAGTCCAAGGGAATCTAACCACATGTCCACTACTTCTGTCTGGGCCCCACAAGCACCTTACACTGCTCCACCAAGCCCCGAGGTCACTTTCCTGGCTGCCGACTTGCCACACTACTTGTAAGGTGGCTCTGCGGTGGCAGCTAACCTCAGCTTGGCATCAGAGCCTTTGGTCCCTTTGTCCTGGCTCCCTCAGCGGATAGGCAGGTTGGAGTTGGAGGTGTGGCTAGATTGGTAGAGTGCTAGCCAATGAGCAAGAGCATCAGGTACCAAGTTCAAGTTCTAGTCGTAGACCTACGAGAGGGGGGAAAAAACCAGGCTGGCCCCACAGGCACCTATAGGAGAGGCTGCTGCACAGGCTTAATGGGAAATCTGTCCACCCAGGTCCCAGGTGTGTGATGGCGGCTGCAATCTGTCTTGGGGATATTAATGACATCTTCTCTGGTGGCGACTGCTGTCCAGCTGTTCTGCAAAACTGGAGCTTTCAGGTGAGTGCTAAAGGCAGATGCTGATGGGTATGGGCAAGATGGCACCAGCAGAACCTGCCAGGTAGGTCCACATTCCTGGCACTTCCCCTTTAGGTGGTTTGGCAGGGAAGATTCAAGTAGTCTTCAAAGTGCACTGTGGTGTTCTTAGGTGAACTGGCTTTACATACTTGGCTTTCCACTAGCATCTTTAAATGAAGTGTTTCCGTTGCAGCTCCTACGCTTTGTTTACAAATGGAGCATGTTGTTGGAAACCTATCTAAGATGTATGTTCCCCTTGACCTTATCCAGAGATGCTGAATGACAGGTTTTTGTCCTGGGTCACCCTCAAATTCAAGATCCTCCTGCTTCCATCTCAAGTGCTGAGATTACATGTGTGTATCACCATGCTCAGCCCTAGTTGGTAGTCTTTTTTTTTTTTTTTTTTTTTTTGCTGGTCCTGGGGGCGGGGGGCGGGAGGGGGGGGCCTTGAACTTTGGGCCTCAGTAGTGTCTCTGAACTTCTTTTGCTCAGGGTGCACCGCTTGTGGCTTTTTTGAGTAGTTTATTGGAAAAGTCTTATGCCCAGATTGATTTCAAACTGTGATCCCCTGATCTCAGCCTCCTGAGTAGCTAGGATTACAGGCGTGAGCCATGGGTGCCCTGATAGTTGTCTTCAAAAGTAATAGCATCCATTTCCAGAGGTGACCTGCCTGCCAGGCACCTCATGCAGGGGCTTCCGTCTGCAAAGCTTTCCTGGCATCCTGCCACAGGCCAGCAGACAGCAACTTTTGCCTCAGTTTATGCCAAATAAGGTGTCAGATTCCATCGCTAATAGGGGCCTATAAAAAAAGATGTGTCACCGGAGTGGGCAAGGTGCCTGCTGGGCCAGGCAGTGGTGGCCAAGTTGGTGATGGCATTTATAGGGCTCGGCACTGTTCGGTGTTTGCTCAGAATGCATGCATCTGGAATGCACAGGCCGCTGCCTCTGCAGTAAGGTCATGCTCCCTTCTGCCGGCTTTCCTCCATGACATGAGCATTTCCCACATTCACCCCACGGCTTCTGTGGCCTTTGACTCTGATAGCTTTTCCTTTGGTCATGGTTCTCGGTAGGAAACTCATGATATCCTTGTTTGTATTATCACTCAAACTCCTCCAAAAGTCAGTTTTCTTTCCCTTCCTCTGGGGAAATTAAAAGGCCTATTTAAAGCCCCCATGCAAATTTTTTTGAAATCAGGTTAATCTTGATCCATTTTCCCACCAGGGCCTCAAGCTATGGCCAGCCTTACACTTAACTTTGCTTCCTCTTATTTTGCTTGTGACACTGGGGATTGAACTCAAGGCCTTGTGCTGGCCAGGCAGGCAATCTACCACTTGAGCCACCCTCAGCTCCACTTTCCAACATTTTGGTGATTAGTTGGAGATGAGTCTCATGGACTTTCTTGTCCAGGCTGGCTTTGAGCCATGATCCTCAGATCTCAGCCTCCTGCGTAGCTAGGACTACAGGTGTGAGTCACTGGCACCCTACTTACACTTTTTTCATGTAGTAAAGCAACTGAACTGTCATTCTAAGCACAAGAACCAAATCTAGGCAACTGGAGCTGGTGGTGATTTTGTGCCAGACAAATGACAGGCCTTGGGGGTAGTGTGGAAGTGGGGACAAGTATCTTGGTACAGAGTAGGTTCTGATTGTGGCTGTTCTGTTCTTCAGGCCACAGGGGTTATAGGCATGAGTATAGAGGAGGCCCATCCAAAACTGAGGACAGATGACACTTTAAGGGATGATATGGATGATGGCTGTGGAAGAAAGATTACTATCTATCCCTAGGTCTAGACTTGCTTTGGTGTGTGGAGCTGTGCACTGACTCAGCCAGGGAGGCTAGAGATTGGTATCTTTGGAGCAGGGAAAGTTATTCCAAACTCCAGAAGACTTCCCCTAGGGGCTACATAGGCCATGGACTTTGTAGCCCAAGGACTTTGAACTTCCTTTTATTACAAATTAGCTATCAGTAGTTGAATCAAACTAAACTCATTAATTGCAGACCTTTGTGATGAGGTGTGCTGTGCTTATTTAGAGTTGGATGGAGAGATTCTTTGACTTCTGGTGAAAATGAATCAATGAGAAGAGTTTAACTTGGAAAGATATATAGAGATAGAAAAGGCCAGGATGGTTTTTTTCTCAGCACTGGGAGCAAAAAGCTGCAAACTACCCCCCATAGTGGCAGTTTAGGTGGTGATGTGTTCCGTTCTCTTGCAGTATTGTGAGTCCTTTTGGGAAAGGCTTGGTGAAAAGAATCCGTGTCTCTTCACCCGGCTGGCCCACTGGCCTTCATGGTGCTTCATGTTCCCGGATGTCTTTGGATTCTGTTTAAATGTCCTTGTTAATACATTCCAAGGTTTGAACTCCATTCCTAGCTAAACCTCTTCCTTGTTTACAGAGACTGAAATAGCCACATTTTGACCTTGTGTTCATTCTGGGAACATTGATGGCAGTGTGGTTACATTCTTTTCCCATGCGAGAATTATATTGACATGGCAAAGTTCTGGAAAGCTCAGGAAACTACTACAGACTCTTGATTCCTTCTCTTCTCCCTTCCTGTACTTCAAAAGATCAGCCTTTCTAATCAGCCAAAATCACTCAGGCCTTTACACTCTTCTTCCTGTACAGAGGTGCAGGGAGAAGAGAACTGAGCTTTACAAAGCTTGACCCTTGCTTCCTCCTTTCCCCCCTCCCTCCCTTTCCCCAGGGAGCTTCCCAAAGCCCCCTCAAGGCTGGTGGGCAGAGCACAGCATGGGACCCCCAGCAGATCTCCTGGCTCTAAGGCCTGGGTCTTATTAAGACCAAGGGCTGAAGGAAGGAATGAGAGGCAAAGAGGGAACAGCTTACATAAAGCAAAAGGAAAGACATGTACATATCATCTGATGTGGAAGAAATTGTATTGTCAAAGCTCATAGAATTCACAAACATTATAGACCACAATAATGACAATTTCCCTTGTGAAGGTTAAAATGTTTTTGTGGTATCACTTGGGATTCAGCAGCCCTTGGTCTAAAAAAGACCATTAGTGGCTCATTGCTCCCCTTTTATTTGACCTCTTAAGGGTCTGTTTCTGAATGACTTGGTGTTTTTGCCATATCTTCCTACAGGAAGGCCTGTAGGTTGATGGGATCACGAAGGTGGGCTTCACGAGACAGTATATTTTGTAGATGCTCTATAGTTGGTTAGGACCAAAGAAAGTACACACTGTGGGACAAACCTTCTTACACATCTGGGAATAGGGCACAGGTACCTTGCTGCCAAACACAGAAGACTCAAAGTAGCAAACTTGGTGCTGAACAGATGGCCGGACAAAGCTGGCTGTGTCAGGGAGTGGGGGTGCCATTCAGTGATGGGTTTGGGTTTAAGTATGTTGCCTTTAAGGTCTTGGCGGAAGTGTCCAGGGAGAAGCCGATAGGAATGAGGAAAGCAATGCCCTACACTTGGCTGTGAACCAGAAAGAGGGGGAGGCAAGCAGTGTGCACTTGCTTATGCTGTTGAGCTTCTGGAAAACAAGGCAGGTATCTAACTGGCCCCGGGCAAGCCCACCCATGCAAGCACAGTGAGTCTCTCCTTTCTATATCCATTGGTCCCTTTTGAGACTCTGTTGGTCTGTTGGGATGCAGCATCACGCTGTCTAGGCTGCTTTTCCAAGGTGGCCCTCTTAGGGCCCAGGGGGGTAACACAAACCCATACTGCTCCCAGAGTCCAGGACTGCCCTGTGCCATCCGCCATGAGTCACTCTAAAGTAGAAGCTCCACTGACTGCAGGGCTTTAGAAAGCTGCCAGGAACGGGGGCTGTGCCAGTTCTGTGAACCAGGGTCCTTGAGTGGAGGAGCCTTTGGCAGTTAAAGGGCAGCAGGTCAGGCATTGGTCCTCACATGTGACCTGCATGTACCAAGGATGGGTATGAGAAAACAGTGCACCCTTTGATCTCCTCACAGAGCATGTGGGCAGGCATCAGAGACAGACAAAAGGAATGAATGTCCTACAGGAGGTTGCTTACTTGTCCATCTTACTCAGAATAGCAGTTGGAAGTCCATGGGGTCACCAAAGACAGGGATCCTTCGAGAGCATTTCCAAATCAAGGCGCTCTCTTGTTTAAACTCTTATTTCTAGTACTGTTGTCTAAAAGCTAGGTTAAAGTTGGGAGCCGGTGGCTCATGCCTGTAATCCTACCTACTCAGGAGGCTGAGTTCTGAGGATTGCGGTTCAAAGCCAACCCGGGCAAAAAAGTCCCCATAAGACTCATCTCCAATTATACTACTCAAAATCAGGAATGGAGCTGTGGCTCAAACTGAGAGCACTAGCTTGGAGCAAAAGAGCTCAAGGACAAGCACCCAGGCCCCCAAGTACCAAAAAAAAGGAAAAAAAAAAAGATTGTCCCTTTTTCTGATTTCAGGATTTATTGCTAAATATGTTTTCCCAGTCTACCTTCGAACAGTTTTCAATGTTTTCTTTATAATGTCTTCCTACATACAAGTATTTGCATATACTTTGTGTTGCCAGTACCAGAGCCTGAACTCGGGTCCACTGGCTTTTAGTGGGCCTTTTTGTTCAAGGCTGGCACTCTACTACCTAAGCGACACCTTCAGTTTTCTTTGCTGGTTAATCAGAGATAGTTTCTTGGACTGGCTTCAAACCATAATCCTTAGATCCCAGACTCTTGAGTAACTAGAATTACAGGCATGAGCCACCAGCATCAAACCTGTGAACACCTTTTCTACAACCACATTCTGGTAAGATGGCAAGAAAATACAGGAGCTGGAAAAGTAAAATGAATGCCAGAAGGTTTTACAACATATCCTGAACCTAAATAGGTAAACCAAGCACTCAGGAGTCTGGGGCAGAAGGTTCTGGGGTAAGGCTTGACCACCTACACACAGAGTGAAACCTCTTGTTACATGAGCATTTCCTTGCAACTTCAGGGAGAGGTGGTTTTTGGTGGGAGGGAAGAAACTGAGAAGGGTCATGCTTTGTAGCCCAAAATGGCTTACAACTTGGGATTTTCCTGCCTCTGTGCTGGGAAGAGAGGGAGAGGTCTTTTAGGTTTGCTATAGAAAAGAAATGGAGGGGCTGGGAATGCAGTTAGTGGAAGACTGCTTGCCTTGTATGCGTGAAGCCTTGGGTTCGATTCTGTAGTACCACATAAACAGAAAAACCCAAAAGTGGTGCCGTGGCTTAAATGATAGAGTAATAGCCTTGAGAAAAAGAAGCTCAGGGACACTGCGCAGACCCTGAACTCAAGCTCCAAGAGATAAGAAACAGAATATATGCTACCCATGAATCATTGAAGCCATTAATGACTTGGGCAGTCTTTATATATGGTCACATAGTCACCTATAAACTCTCTCATAGGGAGCTGCAGCACTAGGGGATAGGACTGGATTCAATCTTCTAATCTGCTCTCTCGACCTACTTTATTTCAGGCTTGGAAAAACCTTGCCCAGTTTTGATCCCTTCAAGACTTTGCCACAGCCTCTATCACACATCTGTTTTTCTTAAAATAGATATAATAAAAATGTTTTACCCTTTTACACTGTAAAATTATAAGAAATAGTGTGTTATTTGTGAATGCATGGTCTGACATTTGTGTACTGTACAGTTGAGATTTTCAAACAAAACCTAAAAGTCAACAATCCAAGAAAGTGAGTATTTTTATACCAAACATTTTAAGTATGACGTATGAATTCTTACACTGGGTTGCATCACAACTTTTGTGCTTGATTTTGAATGCTTATAATTAGAAATATCTATTTTTTTTCCTCTTAAAAACAAGCTGCATGTTTCTAACTAGAATCAAAAGCTCCAGAATTGCATTGTGAATGTAGAGAATCTGTGCCTGGCCCAAGTCCAGGATATTTTAGTGTTGTGTTGTTAGACCTGTTCTCTGAAATACAAGGTGGAGAATTCGGTGGATAACCTGTGAGACAATCGAAGCTTCTGCCTCAATGGCACATTCCCATCTGGGCATAGAAAACATTGGTGAAGCTGAGCAGATGTGCCGTTAGAAACCCTGTGGCTGCAGACTCTGGGTGCCAAGAGTTCTGTTTTGCAGTTTCTCTTTTTTCCTAGTGTGTGACTGACTGCTGATCACTACTCCCTTCCCACTCTGGGCCAGTGGAACTGTTGAGTCAGCCTCACCCATAAGGGAAACCTTGGCTTGGAGGCAGAGCCGACTTCGCTCACGTGGCTGCAATGGTCAGTGTATGTGTCTGAAGTGATTTTGCAAGACATCGGCCCAACTGAGCTGGTGTTCTGGAGTTTGAGCAGCACTGTGCCAAAGAGACCATCTATTGTGTACTCACTGCGAGACTCCCTACCACATGGCACGGATCAGGATGAAAGGAACGAGCGACCACGTGCAATGAGTACTGTTGGCTTTGCTTCCAGACTTGTTCAAAACTGAATGTCAGTGGACATTTGCAGAGTCAGCCAGCTCAGCTCTTCCCCCTCCCCCTATACAAGAGCCACGTGTGAAATTGTATTGGCCTCAGTTTCCCACTGCTGATATAGCTAGTCACAATCTGCTCATGTTAAACTTTCAGTTTTACTGATTATATACATGCTTGGTGTGAGGTTTTGTTTCATTATTTTTTCACTAGAAATGTTAAGATATATTAAAGGTCACCACAAATAAACTGGGCTAGGAGAGGCAGGCTCATCTTTCTTGCCGAAAATAAAAGGAAGCACCAGCTTGGGAACCCCGGCTACGTCACTGCTGCGGTCATGGACCTGCCCTTGGCATGAGGCTCTAAGTGAGAATCCTGAGGGAACCAGAGCCACTTCAGTTAGACTTTCCTAAACTGCTGAAAGGCACTTTTCTATTGTCATTTTAAGAAATAAACTCCTTACTCCAGCTATCACACTATTGCTTGTTTTACAAGATCAGCACAAATGTGTCCTATAATGCAAACTAGGAACCAGTCCTTCCCTGGCTACTAAAACACAGAGATGAAAGGAGGAACTGGGAGAGGCAGGGATGGACGATCTGTACAAATGCAGTCCTATAGCCATCAGAGCCCACCAGGACTCCTTCACAAACTCAGCTGACTGCCATCCACATCAGCTTACAAAGCCTGAGCTCAAGACTGTGCAAATTCTATTGAAGTATCACAAGTTTTTCTGCAGACTTAGCCAGGATGACAGGATTATATGCTCTCATCCTTCTAATTCTCAGCTAATTAGAACTATCACTGGTGAGTCATGTGATTTAGACTGCATATCACTCTGCCAGAGGAGACTGACCACCAAACACAAGTCATGGCCAGTGCCCTTGGATACATGGAGAGCTAACAGATGGCTTTGCAGAGCCATCTCCGGGTTCTGCAGGCTGAAGGCTTTCCCTTTGGCCATCTGTAAGCCTTTCACTTCCAGGCACCAGGACCGCAACAGCTGGCTCCAAAGGAGTGTTGTTATGAAATCACTGCCATTGCACAAGAAGCTTCAGGGTGGTTGATGAAACAGAGGTATTTACCAATTTAGAATAAATTCCACACGCATACCTACTGACCAATAACTTGAAACTGTAATGAAGTAGGTGTTCAACACCTGTCTTTCACTGAGCAGAAATGAGTAGTGTCATTTGGAATTTGAGATCAGGAAAATGTCCACTCCTATTCCCTTGTAACAGATTCTAATTTGTAGGCTCCACAATGTTAACAGCCATCTTTCAGTTTCATTAAAAAATGGACTCTTATGAACATAAAACTAATTTATACAACTAATCCGTACATTTAAAATAATGTGCCTTAGCCAGGTGCCTGTGGCTCACGGCTGTAATCCTCATTACTCAGGAGGCTGAGATCTGAGGATCACAGTTCAAAGCCAGGGCAGGAAAGTCTGTGGGACTCTTTAACAATTAACCACCAGAAAACCAGAAGTGGCGCTGTGGCTCAAGTGGTAGAGCGCTAGCCTTGAGCTGAAGAGCTCAGGGACAGCGCCAAGGCCCAGAGTTCAAGCTCCATGACTGGCATAATAGTAATAATAATGTGCCTTCTACCCACTGCTAACAAAATTTCAAATTAAAGGCACTTTGAGTTGTCCTGTTCAGGTTTCCAGTTTGCTCAACCCAGTGCTTACACAGCCACCTGACTTCCATGGATTCGTTATTGCCCCAAACCCTATCCCCACTTCAGATCCTGAATAGAGTGATGGAGGTATGGCTGATGTCCTAGATTGTGTCAGGGTCAAGCTATGGGCTCACATTTCTTCAGATGGCCTTGGGCAGAGAGGAATGCCCAGTGCTGAGAGCATGGACAGGTTTCCTGCTGCATCTCCTGTCTCTGCAGTCAACGCTCTTCCCTAGGAATTAGTACATGGTTTTCTCCACACTCAACTTTTAAACCATTTTGCAACACCCTCTCGTGACAGTTTTACAGTTCCTTAACCAAAGTTTCTGACCAGTGATTTTATCTCTCTGAAATACTAGTCCTCAAAATGCCTCTAACTCGATGATGATACCAAACTAAATGTAGTCACCAGTTTGAGAAAGATTCCAAAATTCAGACACTTTGAAGAGTTTTGCTAGAGGCCAATGGCTCATGCCTCTAATCCTAGCTACTAAGGAGGCTGGGATTTGAGGATTGCCATTTAAAGCCAGCCCAGTTAGTAAAATCCTTGAGAGTCTTCTCTATTAGCCTCCAAAAAGCCAGAAGTGCCTCTAGTGAAAAAGCTCAGGGACAGTGCCCAAGCCCTGAGTTCATTCCCCAAGGTACACAAAGAAATTTCTACACGCCTGCCTCAGTTGCAAAACATCCCAGATGGCACTGCCATATCTCACGGCGCCTCCGAACTGCCCAGGCTCGGCAACTCCATCCCCAGGTCTCCAAAGAAGCCAACGTGAACTCTGCTGTGGCTTGTCACTATCTGTAACATAACTTGCCACAAAGCATTCATTTGCTACCATTGCTAGGCCTCTCCTAGGAAGGCTGAGCAGGAAAGAAAATGGGGTCCTTCTGTTCCACCTAGAAAACTCACTTGTCCACCTAGAAAACTCACACTTGGAGATTATGTCCATTGATACCAAACTAGAAACTTTCATTTAACTTCAACCCACATTGTCTTCTTTTGAGCAAAAAATAGGCCCAAATGCAGTACAAAATGATGCTTGAATTAAAATATTTATCTGGTCAAAGAAACACTTTTCCCCTAAAATTAGGCCTCAGGTCTGAGCTGCTCAGCAAACATCCCCAGTATCATCTGAGTCAAGTGCAAGATAAACCAGTTCTTGGCATTTCTAAAGCTAAGCTTGCCAAATTCAAGCTGTGGTTTGCTTAGCAAACCACATGGCAGGCCCATGTTTTCTTTAAAAGGGGGGCAGAGGGGAAGGAAACTACAAGATTTTGCGCTGAACATCCTTTGCAAAATTCTGGTCATCTAAAAGGTCCCTGGGTCTTCACTAGCATCCTAAAACCACAGAACCACAGGAGTTTGCTGCCAGCCCACACAAACCAGGTCCTCTGGACTTGCAACAGAGTGCCCTTGTCAATCTGCTCTTGAGGGGCCCACGGCATTTCTACCCTAGTACAAACCAGGCCCATTCCCACTCAACCTCAGAGACCTCAGACCAGCCATGTCCAAGGTGGTTTGCCCGCCAACCAGAAAGCCTCTTACAAAGAGAAATGTGCCATTTAACCTACCGTCAGGGAGACCAAGGGCATCAGGCTGGACTATTCTAATTCCACATTCTCAAAGTGCTTCCACATGCTAAGGAAACCAAACAGGCCAGGAATGGGTATTCCATAGCTCGTTTAAGACATATCCGAGAGATCCTGGGCTCCCAACCCTCAGACTCCAACACTAGAAATGAACCATACATGTGAAGTACCAAAGGCAGCCACAACTGGCAACACCACGACGGTTCTAAGCACGGCACACAGCCTTGCTGCAGAGCCTCCCCCACCCCCATGCTGGTCTCAGTTTACAACCAAAAAGCCCATCCTTCACATGAATCATTTGAGAGTGTAAACAGTAGAGGAAGAATGGACACTGAGTCATGTTCTATACTGTGGGACTGACAAAAGCTAGACTGTACATATGCATTCCTCCCCTAGGACCCCCAGAACAAGGAATCATGGGATATTCCTGCACTGCCTTTGCTAACACTCTTCTCAACAGGTATCAAGTGTTCCTCCATCCCCAGGGTCCTGCCATCATCTGGCCATACGTAACAGGCAGCGACAGAACAGTCGAATGCTCTTTTATACTTTATCTATGCTCAACTGCATTTCTGTTAGCTCTCCCCTAAAAGCCTCCCATGGTTGTGATGAATTATAGATCCAGTGCACAGTACTGTCTCTGCCTCAATTCCCAGCTCTGCCTGTTCCCACTTGCTTCTAAATGGTAGTAGATCTGGCAGAGATGAGAATACAGCTTTATCTGGGAAATTCTAGGGGAAACACCCAGAAGAACTGCTAAAAAGACTTCATTATTATCATTGGACAGAACGAGACTCATCAATTTTCCACAAAGACCATCTTCCTCACACATTCCCCAGTATGCAATCTAACACATCATAGGAGATACGTTAGGGATCAAGGCTTAAAATTCAGAGGTAATAACATTATGAAATACTGAAATACTTTCCCAGGATCAAGAATGCCACAAAGATGTTAGCAAGACAAGTACTGGTGACTCACACCTGTAATCCCAGCACTCAGAAAGTTGATCTGAGAAGCACAGTTCAAAGCCAACCTGAGCAGGAAAAGTCCCAGAGACTCTTTACTTCCAATTCTCCACCAAAAAGTCAGACGTAGAGCTGTGGTTCAAGTGGTAGAATACTAGTGGTAATCACACAACCCGAGTTAAAGCCCTAATACTAGCACACGCATGCACACACGCACACATCCATCCAAACCAAACCAATAGGCAACAAAGTGAAATGATAGAACTGAAAAGCAAGCTGGGGGTACTGTTCCAGTGGTAGTCCACTGGCCCAGCAAGTAGAAGGACTCAAGTTCAAACCCCTGTACCACCATCAAAGGAAAACTTGCAAAGACTGGACAGCAAAGAGGGTGAACCTTATTATACTTGAGTATGCCAGAGGCACAAGCCCTTTGAATTACAAACTGTACTTAGCAATACATGCCTGATACACATTTACTTAAGTTCTGAGACCTCTGACTTTGCAGAATTCCATTACAGTCACTGTTATTGAGGAAGTGCCTCCCATGCTCAACCCTTCCTTCAAGGTGTTCTCTGAGAAACACTGTTTATGTGAGTATAGAGGTTTACATCCCAATGCTCCACATTTCTGAGGCCTCTGACCCTTTCCTGTCAGCAAAATTCTACCATTTCCATTTTTGTTCTAAGTCACTGTCATTTTGAGGTTTCAAGTAATCCTCCCCCAAAATGTACAACCCTTTTATAGGTGGGCAACCTTGCTTTAAAACTTCAGCAAGTACAAGCTTCCTATCAGATTTTTTTTTTTGGGGGGGGGGCGTGTAAAAATACTAAATCCCAAGTCATAGATGAATTCTGTCTATAAACTCACCTGTGAGGAGTAGAGTCATGACACAAGTGGTGTGAGCCCCCCTAAGCAAGTAAAGGCTAAAACCCACACTACCAAAACAGAAGAGAGAAATGCAAGGCCAAGCCTGGTGGTTCTATCTGTAATCCTAGTCTACTCAGGAGGCAGAGGTAGAAAGATCAAGGTCTGAGGCTGGCTTTGGCAAAAGTACAAGACCTTTTATCAAAACTAAGCAAAGAGATTCAGAACATAATTCAAGTGGCAAGGCCCTAAATTTAATTCCTAACACTATCAGAGAGAGGAAGGACAGTAGTAGGAAAGTATACATGAGACAGGTAATTTTGGAATGGCAATTAAGCAAGACCCTTCATTACTCAAGATCTTTTTTGGTCGATTGTGGGGCTTGAACTCAGAACCTGGGTGCTGTCCCTGAGATTCTTTGTACTTAAGGTTAGTGTTCTACCACTCTGAACCACAGAGCCATTTCCAGTTTTCTAGGGGTTAACTGGAGATAAGAGTTTCATGGACTTTCTTGCCTGGGCTGGCTTTGAACCACGATCCTCAGATCTCAGCCTTCTGAGTAGCTAGGATTACAGTCATGAGTCTAAAACTTCAAAGGAGTTTTAGACAGGAAAACTGAAATTGAGCAGTTCAAAAAGCACTGCTGAGCTTTGGTGTAAGTAATAGTTCTAGGAACACACAATTAGAACCTGTATTAGAGATCCTGAAGGCTGTCTCCTTGCAGAGCAAGGATGTGTTTGAGATGTAAAGTCAATCTCCGGATGTACCAGGGAGGAGGAGGAAGAGTACAGGCCACGAGATGAGCTAGTTCCAGATTCACAGAAACAACTTTTTCTGCCTTAAGACATTACACAAGATGGAGAATTTCCTGAATTCTAAATCAAGGGGGCCACATGAAGATACCTTCTATGCCATGTTCTAGAGCTTGAAGGTAAGACAAAGATGGATGACAGTAGACAGAAAAGATTAAAAAGTAAAAAAAGCTTCTGTCTGATCAAAGCACTTGCTGATTTGAGTGTACCATAATACCATGTTTTTAGCTTTTGGGTTGTTTTTTTTTGGGGGGGGGGGGTGTTACGGTGCTTAGGGCTCTGCAGTACTTTTTTTCTGCTTATGGCAAGCACTTTGCCACTTGAACCACGCCTCCAATTCTAGCTTTTTGCCAGTTAATTGGAGTCTCTCAGATTTCCGTGCTGGGGCTGGCTACAACCCTCAATCCTGATATTTGCCTCTAGAGTAGCTAAGATTACAAGTGTAAGACACTGGCATCTAGCCTTTCTGTTTTGTTAATTATTGATCCCTTTATTGTTTTTATAAAAGTGATGTACAGAAGAGTTACAACTTCATGAGTTAATGAGCCTTTTCTTTTTTTCTTTTTTCTTTGGGGGGAGGGGGCCTGGGCGCGGTCCCTCAGCGCTTCAGCTCAAGGCTAGCACTCTACCACTTGAGCTACAGTGCCACTTCCGGCTTTTTTATTTTTTCTGCTTATGTGGTACTAAGGAATCAAACCCAGGGCCTTATGCATGCAAGGCAAGCGCTCTACCACTGAGCCACCTTCCCAGTCCTTTTCTTTCTTTAAATGTATGATGAGCTGGGTACTGGTGGTTCATACCTGTAATCCTAGCTATTCAGGAATCTAAGATCTGAGGATTGAAGTTATTAGCAAGCAGCCTGAGCAGACAAATTCAATACTCCTCTGCAATTAACCAACAAAAAGCTGGAATTGGAATCCTGGTTCAAGTGTTAAAGATTGCCTTCCATGAGCAAAAAAACAGCAGCAAGGTCCTGAGTTTAAGCACTAGTACTGGTATATATCACATGCATAAAACACTGAACCTCATTTAATTTCAATCTGTGGTATGAGACCTATGGGTCAACCCAAAGAACCACAATAGATCACATAAATAGTGCAGATAGAAAATAGACATAATTTACCATAAAAGGCAGGAAAAAACAAAGAAATTTTCTGTAAATCACCATAGCCCTCAAAAGACTCCACATCCTGGTACACTGATAGGTCGTGTCTATAATCCCAGCTATACAGGATGGGAGGAATGAATTTAAGGCAAGTCTGGGTAAAACGTTGGTGATACCCTCCATCGAAAACAACAACTAAGCATTGTGACATATACCTGTCATCCTAGTAGGCTGAGATCAGGAAGATCAAGGCTCCAGGCCAGCCTGATCAACAGTTTATAAAACCCCTTTTCTAGCAGAAAAAGCCAGGCATGATGTTACATGCTTGTCTCCCAGCTACAATAGGAAGTAGAAACAGAAGAAATCACTGTTTAGGCCAAAAGCAAGAATGTTTCTCAAAAATATTCGGAAGTTAGGCGGGGCTCCAGTGGCTCACACCTGTAATCCTAGCTACTCAGGAGGCTGAGATTCGAGGATCACAGTTCAAAGCCAGCCCCAGCAGGAAACTCCATGAGATTCCTATCTCCAATAAACCACTAGAAAACCAGAAGTGGTGCTGTGGTTCAAGCGGTAGAGTGCGCGCCTTGAGCTGAAGAGCACAGGGACGGCGCCCAAGCCCAGAGTTCAAGACACACAATTGACCAAAAAATAATCAACTTAAAAAAAAATTCGCAAGTTGGGTAGTTAGTCAATCTTATAATCCTAGCTACTTGGGAGGGGATCAGAGAATCACAATTTAAGACTAGCCTAGACAAAACAAAAAAGTTTTCAAGACTTCATCTCAACCAATGCTGGTATAATGGTGTGCACCTGTTATACCACATTACAGAAGGAGCACAATAGTTTTGTACCTGTTATCCCATGAACAGATGGAAACACAAATAGGAAGATCACAGTCTAGGTTCACCTCAGCACAGAGCAAGACCTTAGCTCTAAAGAACCCAATGTAAGTGTCAGACGCTGGTGGCTAACACCTATAATCCTAGCTACCCAGGATGAGGAGATCTGAGGATCACGGTTCAAAGCTAGCCCGGGCAGGAAAGCCCTTGAGACTCATCTCCAATAAACCACCAGAAAACCAGAAGTGGCACTGTGGCTCAAGTGTAGGGTGCTTGACTTGAGCTAAAGAGCTGAGGAAGAGTGCCCAGGCCTAGAGTTCAAGCCCAATGACCCCCCCCCCAAAAAAAAAATGTAAAAAGGGCCTGGCCAAATGGCTCAAGTAGTAGACCACCTGACTATCAAGCACAAGACCCTGCGTTCAATCCCCAGTACCAAATAGAAAAGGAAAAAAAAAGAAAACTCACATATTTATGGTCCAGCTGGTCCACTGCTGGGTGACAGAGGGTGCCTCCAACCAGAAGAAATCTCAGGACAAGCTACACGAGGGCTGAAACACAGTGAAGCTCAAGTTCAGGCTGGCAAGTAAACTCTTTCAGTGAGGTGCTGGTAGCTCACACCTCTAATCCTAGCTTTTCTGGAGGCTAAAATCTTTAGGATCAAGGTCCAAAATTAGAAAAGCCCAAGAAACTCCAAAATAGCCAACAAAAAAATCCAGCTGGAGATGTCACTGAAGTAGTAGAGTGCCAACCATGAGCAAGCAAGCTGAGCTTGCACAGGCCAAGAAGTTCAAACCCCAGTACTTGGGAGGGGAGACTCAAACTCTTCCCATCCTCATTCAAGATGATTGCAGACTATGAAGCTACACGAAAACACTTACTAGTTACAGCTCTATTTAGTGTACATTTATTGCTTAACTTGATAGCAAGAGGCACATCTTGTATTCCAATCAGGAAATCCACATGCTGGGCGGTAATGTGCAGACTCCAATCTTTGTAACATCCCAAACCCTCAGCCTGGGACGTCAAGGATTGAATTCGCCTGTCACCACTTCTAAAAATGAAAAGAATCCACCAATGCTTAAGAATTTTTCTACAATGATTTTTATTATAAATACACGCTTTTGGAATAAACAAATGTGACATTCAAGACTATTTGCCAACTTGCTCTAAATTAAGTAATAAAGAGGAAAATGGAACCAGAAACCACTTAGAAAGAAATAAATAGCAGGCACCTGCCTGCTATGCTAAGTGCCTTTCTCCCAAGAAGTAACAGAAGGTCACTGGCTATCACATTGTTCCTGGCCTACTCAGTTAAAATAAGCTTTGGGGTTGGTGACCCACACTGGCTCTGTAAACGATTGCTCCTCTCCAACCCTGAGAAGCATCTGGGAAGACTCTGTCTTCAGATCCCAAGCATCAACAAAGGAGACTGTGATTGTGTCTGTAATTCTTTGTTCAATGACCAAGTGTCCCCTATTTGCTGGGGGTAATGTCCGAATAATCCTTCAGCACTCCAGCCAAGTGTTCATTGTGAGTCTTAAAACGCCGCTTTTTCTGTGAAGCAGGTTTTTTCCTTCTCTGAATCGGGGCCTGAAAGAAAGGGCAACAGTTAGGACACAGGGCAGCACCAACACAGGGCAGTACTAGCATCCCAGAACCAGCTGCAAAAGATACGGAGCTGGACTTCCCTACTTTGTGGCCAGACTCAGACTACTCAACCTCCAAGGGGACCTGATGCTTTCTGGTAAGTAACAGCCAAATGCCCAACAAGAAAAAATGGGTATCATGCCTGTAATCCTAACTACTCAGGTGACTGAGATCTGAGGATAACAGTTTGAAACCAGCCCAAGCAGGAAAAGGATGTGAGACTCTTTTTTTTGTTTTTGTTTTTTTGGGGGGGGGTCCGGTCATGGGTCCTGAACTCTGGGTCTGGGCACTGTCCTTCAGCTCTTCAGCTCAAGGCTAGCACTCTTACCACTTGAGCCACAGTGCCACTTCCGGCTTTTTTTTTTCTTTTGCTTATGTGGTGCTGAGGAATCAAACCCAGGGCCTCAGGCATGCAAGGCAAGCGCTCTACCACTGAGCCACCTTCCCAGCCCCTGATGTGAGACTCTTTATCTCCAACTAAGCATCAAAAAATAGAAGTGGAGCTCAAAGTAGTAGAATGCTAGCCTTGAGCACAAAAGCTTAGGGACAGTGCCCAGACCCTGAGTTAAAGCCCCATGACAAAAAAATAAGAAGAAAGGAAGAAAGAAAAGATAAAGAAGAAACAGGCTGGCACTAAACAGAGCCAGAACTATTCTAGGCCCCAAGCAGATGAAACAAGAGACGGTGAAGCTCTGTGTCTTATCTGTTATCAAGACTAATAATAAATCGGCCATCATCATTTTATAAGAACTTATATACCAAAACATGAAAATGCAGCAAAACTACAAAATGTTTGTCATATTCTCTATTCTATATACTTAAAATATTAATTTTCCATAGTTTAAAAAATTCCATCGTTTAATAGTAGGAGATCAGGAAGGTCTTCAGTTATAATCACTCATGGAGAGTTCATTGACAATAGACCTTCCCTTTTTAGGAATTTAAAAATTCACAGATTAGCTGGGTGATGGTAGCTCACACCTGTAATCCCAGCTACTCAGGAGGCTGAGATCTAAGGTTCAAAGCCAGCCAGGGCAGGAAAGTCCGTGAGACTCATCTCCAATAAAGCACCAGAAAACGGAAGTGGCACTGTGGCTCAAGTGGTAGAGCGCTAGCCTTGAGTTGAAGAGCTGAGGGGCTGTGCCCAGGCCCAGAGTTCAAGCCCTACAACCAACCAAAAAAAATTTTTTTTCACTGAGCCCATAGGCATGTGGGGAAAAAAAAACCACAAAAATGACAAGCTGCTAAGCACAGAGTGAAAGAAAAGATGGAAGCACTAAATGGCAGGCTGGGGTGGTAGTGAGTCCCAGTCCATCTTGTTTTTGGACTACAGGTGGATGCTGTGGTTACCTGGTCCCCATCAGTGTTACCAGTCCTTGTGTGATTACTAACGCCTCCTTTGGTCAGGATTTAGGGCTTATAAGACAAACATTACCTAAAGGTTCCTAAAGGTAGGAAATAGGTAGTGCTAGGCTCCAAGTCTGAGATGGCAGAAGGAGGGGAAAGACGCATAATTTAGGTGTGAGAGGGCAAGCAAGAGATGAGGCTCCTTTTAGAAACTGGGGCAAGGGTGTACAGAGAGTGAGAAGTTAGTGAGCAGCATCAAGCTGCAGCAGCAGGAGGTGTGGCTGTGGCTCAGGGCCCAGCACTGCAGGACAGGCTGCAGAATAGTGGGAACACTCCCCCAGGCTCAGCAAACTACACCCAACACATCAGACACGATCTGGGTTGCATTGAACCAAATCACTCCATTAGCCAGAAAAAAAACGGGAAGAGGGAATCACAAGTGCCCTTCAGAGAACAGAAGGGCATGCAGCTAGCAGTCCAGAGGACAGTTAAATCCAGCTTCTAGGGATTACATACCACTTTCTTTGGTCCAGACTCCTGCATTGAGGAAATACCCTGTCGCTTCAGATATTCTTCAATTTTCTCCTCATCCATTGAGTCCACAGTGACACTCCTCCACAGTTTCTGGAATTCTGTACAAGACAGTAGTTATATTACCACCAATGTGATCAAATCTAGGCTTCACTGGGCGCCAGTGGTCCATACTTGTAATCATAGCTACTCAGGAGGCCAAGATCTGAGAACTGTAGTTCAAAGACAGCCCAGGCAGGAAAGTACATGAGACACTTATTTCGTTAACTAGTAGAAGACCCAGAAGTGGCACTGTGTCTCAGCGAGTAGCTGAAGAATGGGGCCCCTTGATGCTTCATTCACTGCACTTGGTACAAAAAAATCGAGAGTGGCATGCCAGTTTATAAAAACCTTCTCACTCAGAAGTAAATGCAGGGGCTGGGAATGTGGCTTAATGTAGAATGCTTGCCTAGCATGCATGAAGCTCTGGGTTCGATTCCTCAGTACCACATAAACAGAAAAAGCTGGAAGTGGCGCTGTGGCTCCAGTGGTAGAGTGCTAGCCTTGAGCACTGAGAGGCTCAAGGACAGTGCCCAGGCGAGGAGGGGGGAGGGAGGAGGGGGAAGAGGAGGAGGAGGAGGAGGAATACAGACCTGTAAGACAAAGAGTCCAGCCTACATCATATCCTCTAGAGTCCCAGGGTCCCTCTGCAATATCATTATTGTAGCAGGCAAAAGAAATCAGCCAAGCATGGCCTCACACTTATAATGCTCTCTTAACCAACAGCTGCTGGGGCAGTAGTGCCCAACTATCATACAGTTTTAATATATAGTTATTATAATTATCACAAAATTCTAATTTTTAGTTTATTATTTAAAAGCATGGTACTTCGTACTGTTGTTTTTGCAGGACTGGGACTGAACTCAGGGCCTTAAGCTTACCAGGCAGGTGCTCTATCACTTTAGCCACCAGCCCCTTTTCAAGGTAGGATCTCACTTTATGCCCTAGCAAACTTTTCTATCTGGGCTGGTCTAGAACTGTAATCCTCCCTTTCTCAGCCTCCTAAAAGTAGCTAGGTGGGGCTGAGAAGGTGGCTCTGTGATAGAGTGCTTGCCTTGCATGCATGAGGCCCTGGGTTTAATTCCTCAGCACCACATAAGCAGAAAAAGCCGTAAGTGGCTCTGTGGCTCAAGTGGTCTTGAGCTGAAGAGCTGAGGGAGAGCACCCAAATCCTGAGCTCAGGCCCCAAGACCAACCAAAAAAAAAAAAAAAAAAGTAGTCAGACACAAGCCACTAACACCCACCTACCATAGTTTAAAGACAATGTGATAGAATGAATAGCGTAGTTCCAGTAAAGGACACAAAATTATTGCTTAAAATTTACTAGAGTTGTTGTGGGAAGTGTGTCATATGAAAGAATAATTCTGCTATTTGACTATGAATCTGCTAAATTGCAATTTATCAATACTTGATGAAAATTTGTAGTATCAGCAGTATTTATAACTGGACATGCATGGCTGACACCTGTAATCATAGCTACACAGCAAGCTGAGATCTGAACTGGGGTTCAAAGCTGATCCAGGCAGCAAGGTCTGGGAGACTTCTCTCCAATTAGCCAATGAAGAGCCAGAAGTGGTGCTGTAGCTCTAAGTGGTAGGGTGGCAGCCTTGAGCAAAAAGCTCAAGGACAGAGCCCAGGACCTGAGTTCATGCCCCACAACCATCACCAACACAACAAACTCATAACTAGGTATGATAATGTGTGTGTGTGATGCTTAGAGTAAGTATTGTATTTGTACTACTCTGCATTTCTCTTTATATAACAAAAAAAGTAAAGAAGAAAAAGTATGTCTGAAAAAGAGCTCAGGGTAAGACTTAAATGGTAGCTAATAAGAAGAGTGTTAAATTAGAGACAGAAAAAAAGTGGGAACAAAAGAGTGAGAGAGCGAATGTGTGTGTGTTTTGATCCTGGAGCTTCAACTCAGGGCCTGGACACTGTCCTTGAGCCTTTTGTACAAAACTAACATTCTACCACTTGAACAACAGCTCTACTTCTGGCTTTTCTTGGTAGAGATAAAAGTTCTGGAGATTTCCTGCTGCTGCTGGCTTTGAATCCCAATCTTCAGATCTCGGCCACCTGAGTAGCTAGGATTATAGATAGGCATGAGCCAATGGTGCCTGGTAAGTCCTGAATTCTATGGAGAAAAGTGGAAATGCGTAAGGTTGCAGCTGAAAACAAGTTAGCAGCAATAGGGGAAAAGTCAAGTCACTGAATTCTCATGGGAAACAGCAAGACACTTATGTAACTGCAAAACATCACTGCAGATGTGTCTAAATGTTTAAATGACTATTTTTTGTTGTTGTTGGTCATGGGCTGCAACTCAGGGCCTGGGCGCTGTCCCTGAGCTCTTTCTCTCAAGGCTAACACTCTACAACTTTGAGCCACAATTCCACTTCTGGTTTTCTGGTGAGTAAAGAGACAAAGACAGGCAGACAGGCAGACAGGCAGGCAGGCAGGCAGACAGGCAGGCAGACAGGCAGGCAGGCAGGCAGGCAGGCAGGCAGGCAGGCAGGCAGGCAGGCAGGCAGGCAGGCAGGCAGGCAGGCAGGCAGGCACGCAGGCACGCACGCACGCACGCACGCACGCACGCACACACACACACACACACACACACACACGAGTATGGGGGCTGGGAATGTGGCTTAATGGTAGAATGCTTGCCTAGCATGCATGAAGCCCTGGGTTCCATTCCTCAGTACCACATAAACACAAAAAGCCAGAAGTGGTGCTGTGGCTCAAGTGGTAGAGCACTAGCCTTGAGCAAAAGAAGCTCAGGGACAGTGCCCACGCCCAGTTCAATCCCCAGGACTGGCGAGAGGAGAGAGGGAGAAAGAGAAGGAGAAAAGAAGGGGAGAGAGGGAGGGAAAAAGAGAGTGAGAGGGGGAGGGAGAAAGAGAGTGAGAGGGGGAGGGAGAGGGAGAGGAGAGAAGGGGAGAGAGGGAGGGAGGGGAGAAAAAGGGGAGAGAGAGAGGGAGGGAGACAGGGAGACAGAGACAGGAACAATCTTACGGACTTTCTTGCCCAGGCTGGTTTCAAACTGTGATCCTCAGATCCCAGCCTCCTGAGTAGATTACAGACATGAACCACGGTTGCCCAGCTTGAAATGACTCTTTGCTACCTGCTTAGTCAAATAAAAACTACACAAGTCCAAGTGAAGGGCTGGATAAGTAAGGAGGCAAACAGGATCAAAACAACTAGTATCTCAGTACTGTATTTCCAATACTATAAAAGTACTTAAAAATAGCTAATAATGAGGGCTGGAGACAGGGCTTACCTGGTAGAGTCCAATGTGCATGAAGTTATGTTCAAACCCCAACAAAAATAAAAGTCTGTGTCCTTTACTATATACTCAAAAATTCTAGCACTGTTACTTATATTGATTCATTTTATCCTCATGAAATGGTGAGACCGTGCAGAAGCAGACTCTCAGAGGGTATCTTACCTATTCCTTTTAAACCATTCTCAACACTACATTTACACTACATCTAAATGAGATACTAATTTAACAATTTTTTTTTTCTTAGTCAGTCATGGGGCTTGAACTGTGGGCCTGAGCGCTGTCCCTCAGCTCTTCAGCTCAAAGCGAGTGCTCTACCACTTGAGCCACGGCGTCACTTCCTGTTTTCTGGTGGTTAATTGGAGATAAGAGTTTCAGAGACTTCCCTGGCCCCACTGGTTTTGAACCTTGATACTCAGATCTCAACCTCCTGAGTAATCATGATTCCAAGTATGAGCTACGGATGCCCAGCCTAACAAAATTACTTTGCGAAAAAAGTTGTATGCATAGGCCCAACTAGTCTGCATTCACTTGTCTGATCAATTGCTATACAGTAAACTGTCTCCCTATTTGAGCTATATCATTCTGAAGAAAATCCAGTAGTTAGCCTGAAAGCTAACTACTCCACATTTCCTCCTAGGGCCCAGACTGACACCTAGTGGCTACAGTAAGCATTGTCATCATTACACTAAAAAACAGTATCTGTTCAAATGTGTCATTTTCTTTTTTTTTTTTTCTTTTTTTTTTGGTTGGTTGTGGGGCTTGAACTCTGGTCCTGGGCACTGTCTCTCAGCTCATCAGCTCAAGGCAAGCACTCCACCACTTGAGCTATAGCACTACTTCCAGTTTTCTGAGTGGTTTACTCAAGACAAGAGTCTCACAGACTTTCCTATCCAGGCTGGCTTTTTTTTTTTTTTTCTTTTTGCTTATGTGGTGCTGAGGAATCGAACCCAGGGCCTCATGCATGCAAGGCAAGCACTCTACCACTGAGCCACCTCATGATCCTCATATGTCAGCTCCTGAATAACTAGGATTATAGGTATGAGCCACCGACATCCGTCAAATGTGTCATTTTCTCCCTCTCCCCTAGCGATGGAACCTGGAACCCAACTTTCACATTGCTAGGCAAAGGCTCTGAGTTATAACTCATCCCAAGACATGTCAATTTTCAGTTAATCTGATGTGGAAATACAAAGCAAAAATTCTTTGCATTATTAATAAAACATTTTATTAATTTTTTTAAGTATGTGATTTATGTGATATTGGCACTTTCAAACAAAAACTTACGTTTTACCCATGAGGTTCCTATACAAGTTCCCCACCAGTGTCACTCCAGCACTGTATGAACACAAATCAGAAGCCTACTGTCAACTGAAAATGCTATGAGTCGTAATGCTTGCTTAGCCAGGCACTGCTCAGGTCAAAAATGCCCAAAATGGACTAGCAAAAAAGCTCAGGGAGGGTTGGGAAGGTGGCTCAATGGTAAAGTGCTTGCCTTGCATACATGAGACCCTGGGTTCAATTCCCCAGCACCACATAAGCAGAAAAAGCCAGAAGTGGCGCTGTAGTAGTAGATTGCTAGTCTTGAGCTGAAGAGCTGAGGGACAGTGCCCAGGCCAAGTTCAGGCCCATGACCGACAAAAAAAAAAAAAAAAGCTCAGGGACAGTGCTCAGGCCCCTGAGGTTCAAGCCCCAGGTTTGGCGCACAAAAATAAATAAATAAATACTACAAACTTATAGTAAAACTTCAGTTTATTTGCTTAAAGAGGAATTTCAATCTAAAGAAGCCAAGAAATTTCTCATCCTAAACACTTTGCTTTACATTATAAATACCAATAAAAATATAGCTGGGCAATAGTGGTTCATGCCTGTAATACCACGCAGGAGGTTAAGATCTGCAGTTCAAGACCAGCCCAGGTAGAAAACGGTCCATGAGATTCTTAGCTCCAATTAACCACCAGAAAACCACAAGTGATGCTGTAGCTCGAAGTGGTAAGAGAACTAGCCTTGAGCAAAAAGCTCAGGGGCAGCATGCAGGCCTGAGTTCAAGCCCCATAACTGACCAAAAAAAACCCCACTAAAATACAAAATATAGTCATTATATATTTGAAGTAGAGTAACATTTAGTACACTACAACAAAACAGAACATTATCTTTCAGTTCTCACATTTACAGTTGGGCCTGGCACACACTCAGCAGACTGAATCAGGAACAGCCTAAGCTCTGCGTTCAGACCCTATCTCAAAAAAACTGAACAAAATCAAACAAAAAACCCTTATTTGAAGTAGGAACCACCTGTTGTTTCTAGGAATTGATGATATTGAAAAAGCATTTAATATTTAAATTATAGCTGCATTATAAATATAAATCTTAATCACCCTAAAACTAATATACTTGTAAACTAAAAGTACAAAGACTCACCTTCATCCACAGAAAACTGACAGCTCTTATCATTGAAGAAAAGTATTTTTTTCTTGTCAGGACGATTAACCATTAGTATCTGGTCTCCTAAAGCCTTAAACATAAAAGAACTTTTCAGTAAACTCCATTTTACCTCAGGAAACAATTGAGTTACACAACTAAAGCCTCCTTTTAACTTGCAGCAGGCCATTTGGGTCTATGGCACCAGTTTCAGTTTCTGAGAGTTCTATTTTTAAGGATGGACATTTTGTTGTATTATACTTAGAAGTCCTCCAAAGAGCTACAATAAAACTCAATTACTATTTGGGTCTAGTGGACTCTTACTATGCTAAGATCACTGTCCTCTATTTGAAATTGTTTACTACTTTATCATTATCCATTCTTTCCAACAGAGCTTTTCAGAAGCTCACATACCATGAAATGGAAGAATGCCTGACTCATCTAGAACTGTAAGGCAATAGCAAAAGCAATAGTCAGCTTTTGTTTTCTCACTGCATTGCCCCAAATACTTCATTAGCTTTCCAGAAGCTAAAGAAGGCTACAGAAGGCTCTGCTGTCTAGAAGTTTTGACTGTAAAAACTTAATAGTACAGAACAAAGACCACAAAGAAATAAGGCATTGTCGAAGACATGTACCCTGGCTACATTTTTCTCTTTTTCAGATTTTGTTATAACATTTATAGACGAGATGTGTATAATGATCCTAACATCTTCATACAGAGGAGAATCCAGACATAGTTGAAATGACAATAACAAGAAAGAGAACAAAGCTGAGCACTGGTGGCTTACACCTGTAATCCTAGCTACTCAGGAGGCTAAGAGTTCAAAGCCAGCCAGGGCAGGAAAGTCTGTGAGACTCTTATCTCCAACTAAATCACAGAAAAAGCCTCAAGTCCGTAGCTTAAGCGGTAGTTAGCCTTGGGCAAAAGGAGCTCAGAGACAGCACCTAGACTCAAGAGCTCAAGCCTCAGGACCAGGAAAAAAAAAATGTTTCTAGGGCTGGGAAGGTGGCTCAGTGGTAGAGTGCTTGTCTTGCATGTATGAAGCCCTGGGTTTGATTCCTCAGCACCACATAAGCAGAAAAAGCCAGAAGTGACACTGTGGCTCAAGTGGCAGAGTGCTAGCCTTGAGCTGAAGAGCTGAGGGACAGCACCTAGGCTCAGAGTTCAGGTCCCATGACTACAAAAAAAAAAGTTTCTACACAGTAAGTATTATATAAATATATATACATTTAAAAATTTAAAAAAATTAAAAGGAAGGAGTTCTCGACTAGCTTGTACTTTACCCAGAAGTTCATCACACACAGTTTTTTTGTTGTTGTTGTTTTCTTTGTAGGTCAATTGCGGAGCTTAAACTCTCTAGGCCTAGTACTGTCTGAGCTTTTTTGCTCAAGGCTAACACTCTACCACTTTTGAGCCACAGTTCCACTTCCTGTTTTCTGGTGGTTAACTGGAGATAAGAGTCTCATGGACTTTTCTGCCCAGGCTGGCTTTGAATCACAATCCTCAGATCTCAGCCTCCTGAGTAGCTAGGATGAGCCACTGGCACCTAGCTTCACACAAAGTTTTGTGTAAGCATCTTTAACACTTGGCTCTGTTAAAGGGATAAGCATTTGCCAAAACTTACTAGATACAGAGGTTCATTGCATTAAAATCTTATTTATCTTGTATTTCTCTCTAGTCTCTGCTAAGTTCTTATTAAAATTTCTAATAAAGCGCTTTGCACCATAATTTTATACTTATGTAAAATATTCCTAAAATGCTGGGTGCTGGTGGCTCATGCCTATAATCCTAGCTATTCGGGAGGCTGAGATCTGAGGATTGTGGTTTGAAGTCAGTATGGGCAGGAAAAGTCCATGAGACTTTTTATCTCCAATTAACCACCAAAAATCCGGAAGTGGCACTGTGGTTCAAAGTGGTAGAGTGCTAGCCTTAAGCAGAAAGGCTCACAGACAATACCCAGGCCTTGCAATCAAGTTCCACAACCAACCTATTTATCTATTCCTAAAATGTTTAATGTATTTTAAGATTGTAGTACTCATGAATTGGAAAACTTCTGTTTTTCAATAGTGTTAAAATGTCAATCATACTCAAGCAAAACATTACTCACTACAACCTCACATATATTGTTGGAGACTTTAAAAGTAATTCATTTCTTAAATATATTTCAATCATGAAGTTACCTTGACAGCTTTCTGGGAATTAGGAAGTCCTTCTTCTATGTCCTCTAAAAGAATTCCCCCTAACCCTCGCTGATCATGCTGATCCAAGAGGCGAAGGAGGGCCTTCTTATCTTTTAAGTTGTGCTTGGGCTTGAAGGCGTATTTTCCATCTATTACTTCAATTTTGGGGTTGTTTACTAAAGCCTGTAACAGTACACAATTTGGATGGTCAAAAAAGGACACTTCATATCTGTTCTTAAATGTGAACAGTAATCAATACAGAGGCAAGCTAAAAGTGCATTTTAACCATCACATCCAAAACACTAGACATCAGAATCCCACAACAGCAGCTAACCCCCTCAGCATGGAGCTGTTTTAATTTTTTTAATTATCACAACTGCTTTGAAGAAAGCTTAACTTACATTCTTCCAGAACTTAAACTGGGTAAGAATAAAATACCTATTCATATTAAGTGACAAAGTAAACTGGGCATTACCCATCCCATATCCGAAGTTTAATTACAGTATACTGGCATGTCCATGAGGACACTGCCCTGGAATAAAGAACCAATAACCAGACTCCCTACATGCTACCTGCTGCATAGTTAATGGCCAAATAAGTGCCAGAAGACTATCAGCTTCAATAATACTGATAAACTACATCATTTTACATTATAAGAACCAAACACTACATTTCTCTTGATAAAATAAATTGAATTATATTATGAAAACTATATTTTTGTTTGAGACAGGAGGAGCCCAGACTGGCCTGGAACTTGCAGCCCTCCTGCCTCACCCTCCATGCACCAAGATTTCAGACATGTGCCGGGCTACTTGTGGTCTTTTCTCTTTTTCAGTTTTTGTTTATATATATGATATTACATAAGATATAGAATAATATATTGATATATATACATATATATACACATACATATACTTTTCTATCACTAAGTCAAAGCTCTACTTCTGGCTCTTTTAGGAGATAATTTATTGGAGTTAAGAATCTCACAGGGGGCTGGGAAGGTAGCTCAGCGGTAGAGAGCTTGCCTTGCATGCATGAGGCCCTGGGTTCGATTCCTCAGCACCACATAAGCAAAAAAGAAAAAAGCCGGAAGTGGCACTGTGGCTCAAGTGGTAGAGTGTTAGCCTTGAGCTGAAGAACTGAGGGACAGCGCCCAGGCCCAGAGTTCAGGCCCCCTGACTAGACCCAAAAAAAAAAAAATCTCATAGACTTTCCTTCTCACACCATCTTTGAATCTGATCCTCAGATCTTAGCCTCTTGAGTAGCTAGGATTATAGGTGTGAGCCACTAGCACCCGGCATACTTTTGTTTCTTTTTTGTTTGTTTATCGGTTGTAGGGCTTGAACTCTGGGCCTGGGCGCTGTCCCTCAGCTGTGTTTGGTGACAAGAAGAACTCCATACCAATCGTCTACCTTAATACATGAGGGCAGGGCAGGAATAAATTTATTCAGGTGATCTAGTCAGTCACACTGATGGGTCTCTAGGGCTCCCCCTCCATGTCTCCCCCTCTCTGCCTGTCTGTGTGTCGGTCTCTTGTCTTTGCCTGTGTGTGTGTGTGGTGGGGGCATGTGTGCCTGTTCCTGTTTGTTGATTCAGGTGATCTAGTTATACTCCCCATCTCTCCCTCTGTCTGCCTGTGTGTCGGGGTGTGTGTCGGGGTGTGTGTGTGTGTGTCAAGGCTAGCGCTCTACCACTTAGTTATACTCCCCATCTCTCCCTCTGTCTGCCTGTGTGTCGGGTGTGTGTGTGTGTGTGTGTGTGTGTGTGTGTGTGTGTGTGTGTGTGTGTGTGTGTGTGTGTGTGTGTGTGTGTGTGTGTGTGTGTGTGTGTGTGTGTGTGTGTGTGTGTGTGTGTGTGTGTGTGTGTGTGTGTGTGTGTGTGTGTGTGTGTGTGTGTGTGTGTGTGTGTGTAGGCTAGCGCTCTACCACTCGAGCCACAGCGCCACTTCCACTTTTGTTTCTTGAGACAGGGTCTCACCATATATCTTAAACTGTCCTGGAACTTGATATTTAGCCCAAACTGGCCTTGAACTCATAACCCTCCTACCTCAGCCTCCCTACTCCTGTGTGTGCCACCATAACTGGCTCACTTTGGATCTTTAGAATTTGACACTGGTCTCAAACAATAATCTCCTTTGTCATCATTTAATATAGACCCACAAGAAAATAGTTTAAAATGTTATTCATAAGCTGGGTGCTGGTGGCTCATGCCTGTAATCCTAGCAAGCTGAGATCTGAGGACTCTGGTTCAAATCCAGCCCAGGCAAGAAAGTCTGTGAGACTCATCTCCAATTAAAACCAGAAGTGGCACTGGGGCTCAAGTGGTAGAGCACTAGTCCTGAGTGAGAAAGCTCAGGGACAGTGCCCAGGTCTTAAGAGTCCAAGCCTCACAACAACAACCACAACAACACGTTTTTCATTTCCAAATTATCATGGTATGTGTGTTGGGCTTCCTTCAAATGGAGTGTAAATGTTCATGAAAATAATTTATATAACAACAGTAATAGTGTAATAAAGTAACTTGCTATCCCTCTAGTATCTTACACCTAAAATTTTTTAAACATGTCTTTAAAAATGCAATTTACAAGTATGTAAACTATAAGTATGTAAACTATAAATGCACTCAAAATACACCAATTAATCTGAAAATCAAAGTGAAATTGGTACCTTGACTTCTTCATAAATTTTATGCTGAAGTCTAAACTCTTTAAGATTTAAGTAAATACATACTTAAAATTATGGTGAAACTACTAAGCTCAAACTACTCATAGAAATGTTTAAAACAAAAAAAGTTGGATATAATGACTCATTCCTGCAATTCTAGCTTCTCAGGATGCTTTGTTCATGTCCAGCCTAGGTCACAAAGTTCACAAGACCTCTTTTCAACTCATAGGGTATAGCACAACCTTGATATCCTGAACTTTCTGAGATGCTGAGATTGGGAGGGCTGTGGTCCCAGGCCAGCCTGGGAAGAAAAGTCTACCAGATTTTATCTTAATGAAGAAATGGGTAAGGTGGCATGTGCCTGGCATCTTCAGCAACTATAAGAAGCCTAAAAATAGGCAGAATGTGGTCCAGACATATACCTGGGTAGGAAGCAGGCCCTATCTTAAAGATAACCTGAAAAAAATAGGGCTGGAGACTTGGCTCACTGATACAGAGTACCTGCCTAGGAAAGGTGAGTTCAAATTCTAGCACTGAAAAAATCTACATCACTTCTTTAATAAAGAGCACTATTATCAAGCATTAATCAGAATTCTGTATACCAAGAATGCTGAAGGTGAGGGCATGATTCTGAGGAAGAGTGCTTTGCACAGAGGCCCTGGGTTTAATCAGTATCAACACACACACATACACAAGAAGAACAGAAATCCTCTAGCTACAGCAATTATGTCTTCATAATTGACTGCTCCTTTGACAATATTAGCCTATTCATACCTCAGTCATTAGCCATTGTTTCTGCTTGAGTCCAATGTCTAAATGCTGGGTTTCATCCAAAATCTCTTCTAATGTCAGAGGGTGTGTATCTCCTCGCTGGTGCCGAGTCTATAAAGGGAAGAAGTGATAATTACAAGCTTTTTTAAATGCTAGAGGCAGATGCATTAAATGGAAGTTATACAGAAGATCTATCCTTTTAGGAATGTGGAATATGCTTTTGAGGCAGTGTGACCAGAGTGAAGAGGAACATGGACTATGAAACCATACAGAATTGGACTTAAAACTCCTGGCTAGATAAAATTCAAAGTAAACTGAGTACAGTTATTTGTAACTCATATCACATAGAATTAACCTAACAGAAGAATGCGAACAGAGAATGCAGACAAACACAAAAAGATTAAACTTATACCAAGAAATGTCTCACCTCTCAGACTATTGGTCAGAGTACAATATAGTATAAGCATCAGAAAAAGCAAAATGAGGCCAGGCACAGTGACTGTAATTCGAGACACATGGGAGATGGAGGCCAGAGAAGCATCATTTGAGGCCAGCCTGAGCAAAAATGTTGGGTATAGAGGTACATGCCTGTCATTCTAGCTGATTGAGAAGCAAAAAGAGGAGAATTATATAGTCCAGGCTGGCAAAAGCAGAACTTATCTATCCCAAAAATACAAGCCAGGTGTCAGTGGCTCACACCTACAATCCTAACTATGCAGAAGGTTGAGATCTGAGGATTGCAGTTCAAAGCCAGCCTGGGCAGAAAGTCTATGAGACTCTTATCTCCAATTAACCAACAGAATAACCAGAAGTGGAGCTGTGGCTCAAAGTGGGAGAGTGCTAGTCTTGAGCAAAATAGCCCTAAGACAGCACCCAGGCCCTGAGTTCAAACCCCATGACCAACCCTCACCTCCCCCCCAAAAAAGTAAACAAAAGGGGCTAGAGGAGGCAGAAGTAGTACCTTCAAAAGTACATTGATGGGGGCTGGGAAGGTGGCTCAGTGGTAGAGTGCTTGCCTTGCATACATGAGACTCTGGATTCAATTCCTCAGTACCACATAAGCAGAAAAAGCCAGAAGTAGCGATATGGCAGAGCGCTGAAGAGCTCAGGGATAGCGCCCAGGCTAAGAGTTCAGGCCCCACAACCAGCAAAAGAAAAAAAAAAAGTACACTGATGAAAGTGGCGCTGTGGCTCAAGGGGTGGAGCGCTGGCCTTGAGCAGAAGACTCAGGGACAGCACCTAGGCCCAGAGTTAAAGCCCCACAACCAACCAGAAAAAAAAAAGAAAAAAAAAAAAGGTACATTGATGGGGGCTGGGAAGGTGGCTCAGTGGTAGAGCGCTTGCCTTGCATGCCTGAGGCCCTGGATTCGATTCCTTAGCACCACATAAGCAGAAAAAGCTGGAATGATGCTATGGATCAAGTGGTAGAGTGCTAGCTTTAGCTGAAGGACAGCGCCCAGGCCCAGATTCAGGCCCCACAACTGACAAAAAAAGAAAAAGTACATTGATATTCCGAACAAAAGAAATTAGCTGAGGGAGGGGATAGTGCGAGAAAAACAAAGGAGTAGGTAATGATGTTTGACAACAAATGTTCTCATTGCCTTACTCATGTAACTATAACCCCTCTGTACAGCATCTTTGCAATAAAATAAAATTTAAAAAAGAGGTATTAGCTATTATCAAACCATAAGAAGACATAAAATAACCAGGAATGGGCATGATTCACTCCTCTAGAGGTAGAGACAGAAATATCTGAGGTTGAGGACAACACAGGGAAAATGTTAGTAAGACCCTATCTTGCTTAGCAAGCATAATACCCTGAGTTCAAACCCAAGTAATGCCAGAAAGGAAAGAGAAGAGATTCAGTCATAAAGACTAGGAATGTAGTGCAGTGGTGCTGCCACAGTGACTGGCAAATTAAGAGGTATTGTTATCAACTACCTGGGTGCATTCTTAAGCTAAATGATTGATTTAAATAATATACTTCAAGTAATAAAAATTAAGCACATCAACTGCTGTGATGCTATTTAATAAGAATAAAAAGGCTATCAATGCTTTTTAGTTTTATTAAAGACATAGGTACCATATACTTTTAAACTATGCATGCTGAAAATGCAAATTTTGATGCATTTCAACAGGTATAATACAAATGTAAATTTGTATACAATTTTTTTAAATCCCACTCCTTCTTTTGCCAAAAAGTTAAACAGGATTGTTGTTAGCTGAGGAAAGTACTTACTTTCATGTAATTCACAATCTTAGCAAGTACACCAAACTTATATCCAGAGCTTCCAGATAGAGCTTTCAAGTTAAATGATCCATTGCTATGATCTGGAAATGAAGTTCAAAAAATAAGAGCATTTTTATATTATGGTTTTTAGGCAATGAAAAAATGATTTTAATGCTGGTAAAATTTTTTTTTGAATTTTTAAATGAATTCTAACCTGTAAAATCTTGATAAAAAGTACAAAATCTAGCCAGGCACTGGTGGCTCACACCTGTAATCCTAGCTACTCAGGAGGCTGAGATCTGAGGATCGTGGTTCAAACCCAGCCTGGGCAGGAAAGTCCGTGAGACTGTTTATTTTGTCAATCGTGGGACTTGAACTCTGGGCCTGAGCGCTGTCCTTTAGCTCTTCAGCTCAAGGCGAGCGCTCTACCACTTGAGCTAAAGGGCCGCTTCCGGTTTTCTGGTGGTTTATTGGAGATAAGAGTCTCACGGGGGATGGGAAGGTGGCTCAGTGGCAGAGTGCTTGCCTTGCATGCCTGAGGCCCTGGGTTCCATTCCTCAGCACCACATAAGCAAAAAGAAAAAAGCCGGAAGTGGCACTATGGCTCAAGTGGTAGAGCGCTAGCCTTGAGCTGAAGAGCTGAGGGACAGCGCAAAGGCCCATGGTTCAGGCCCCACGACCGGACCAAAAAGAAAAAAAAAAAGAGTCTCACGGACTTTAGTGCCCGGGCTGGCTTAGAACCGCCATCCTCAGATCTCAGCCTCTTGAGTAGCTAGGATTACAGGCATGAGCCACCAGTGCCCAGCCTCATGAGATTTTTTTTTTTTTTTTCCTCCAGGATATCCTTTTTTTTTTAAATTTAATTTTATTTGTGAACATACTGTACAGAGGGGTTACAATTACAAGGGCAGGATAATGCGTACATTTCTTACCAAGCATTGCAGCCTCCTCCTTTGTTTACCCTTCACCTCCCTTCCCAGCCTCCCCCCTCCTCCCCTCATGAAATTCTTATCTCCAATAAACCACTAGAAAATCGGAAGTGGTGCTGTGGCTCAAGCAGTAGAGCACTCACCTTGAGCTGAAGAGTTCAGGGATAGCGCTCAAGCCCAGAGTTCAAGCCCCACGACCGAACAAAAAAAAAAAAAGTACAAAATCTTTGCATGCATATTAAATTGTCAATGTTGTAAGGGTAGAAATAAAATATAAATAAAGCCTGGGAGGCTGTGTGATAGATGAGGAGTACTGTGGTTCTAGGCCAGCCTGGACAAAAAAATGTTCATCTGTCATCTAAGTTGCATGAGAAACAGAGAATTGTGGTCCAGGCAAAGCATGACATCTGATCCCCAAAATACCCAAAACAGCTAAAGCAAAAATGAGCTTAGAGTATGACTCAAATGGTAGTGTGTCTGCAAAACACAAGAGTCCTTGAAATAAACTCCCAGTACCACCACAAAAATATACCTACGTGTAACAGACCACAGATGTAGCTTGATGTTAAGAGAAATTACCTAACATGATGCACAAGGCCCCAACTTCAATCCCTAGCATCCTTCCATACACACAAGTATGACAACAATGTGGTTCGCATATGTGTGTGCAGGAGATCAAATCCAGGGCCCTGAACACATTTGGCAAGTGTTCTATCTATGAGAAATATCCCTGTACTAAAAATAAACTTTTTCTAAGTACCTAGTATACTGTTACTTTACATTTTATTAGAATCCTCCATAATCAGGAAAGGGAACACAACAGTCTATAGTTTATATATGTTTATTATATGCATAATATATACATACATATATGTGTATATCTACATAGATACACACACACACACACATAGTTCAAAGCTATCACTCTATCACTTGAGCCATGGCTCTTTTGGGTGGTCAACTGATGAATAATGTCATGGATTTTCCCTCAATACTCAGATCTCAGCCTTCTGAGTTGCTAGGATTTACAGGTTAAGCCATTGATGCCCATTTAATAAGGCTTTTCTAACAGCCTTAAGAAAACCAGAAATAGGGCTAGGAAGGGAGCTCAGTGGTAGAGTGCTTGCCTTGCATGCATGAGGACCTGAGTTTGATTCCTCAGCACCACATAAGCAGAAAAAGCCAGAAGTGGCGCTGTGTCTCAAGTGGTAGAGCGCTAGCCTTGAGCTGAAGAGCTGAGGGACAGTGCCCAGGCCCAGAGTTCAGGCCCCACAACTGACCAAAAAAAAAAAAAAAAACACCAGAAATAGTAGATTCTGTTTCAGAAATCTTTATGGAAGATTTCAGGACATCTGACCATTTCACTGCCTTACAGACAGACACCCTAGGCCTCGTGTCATCAACTGGATGCCACTAGTTACAGACAAAAATCCCATCACAAATTCTAGAAAAACATCTCAGAAGTACACATTCTATCAGAAAGACATGAGATCAGATTTGATAAAGTTCCCATGTGACTGATCCACAGAGAGGTTAAATAATGAAGGTTGGAGAGCCAATCTCTGGTATCAGTTTGGTAATCATCATTTAAACAAAAGATGAGATTAGAACAACCGCAAGTCAAATGTAACAACTGTCAGTATCCAGAAATACAGCTTCTAGATGGAAATATATACTCTTCTGAGATTAGTGAAATTATTAAACATGCTTTTTTGATACAAAAATGAAACATCACGTACAATCATGCCTTAAAAAAACTTTATTGTTGGACTGGGAAGGTAGCTCAGTGGTAGAGCGCTTGCCTTGCATGCATGAGGCCCTGGGTTCGATTCCTATAAGCAGAAAAAGCTGGAAGTGCACTGTAACTCAAGTGGTAAAGTGCTAGCCTTGAGCTGAAGAGCTGAGGGAGAGTGCCCAGGCCCCATGACTGGCAAAAACAAAAAACTAAATAAACTTGCTGTTTACTTTTGCTGGGCGCTGGTGGCTCACACCTGTAATCCTAGCTACTCAGGAGGCTGAGATCTGAGGATCGCGGTTCAAAGCCAGCCCGGGCAGGAGAGACCATGAGACTCCTATCTCCAATAAACCACCAGAAAACCGGAAGTGGCGCTGTAGCTCAAGTGGTAGAGCGCTCGCCTTGAGCTGAAGAGCTGAGGGACAGCGCCCAGGCCCAGAATTCAAGCCCCACGACCGACAAAAAAAAAAAAAAACTTTGTTATTTGACAAATAGCTTATCTGGTGTGTGGAAGTCTAAAATGTTCCTTAAAGTAACAATAATACTAACAGTGCTTTACCAAAAGTTTTTACAATTTCATGAGGCAAGCAGGAAATGTTTGTTTTCTACTGATCCCTACTTTATCCTGCTATAAGAAAATAAATCTGCCGGCGCCAGTGGATCACACCCATAATTGTAACTACTCAGGAGACTGAGATCTGAGGATTGCGGTTCAAAGCCAGCCCAGGCAGGAAAGTCCATGAGACTTTTATCTCCAATGAACCACTCAGAAAACTAGAAGTGGCACTGTGGCTGAAGTAGTAGAGTGCTTGCCTTGAGCTAAGAGCTCAAGGACAGCGCCCAGGTCCAGAGTTCAAGCCCCACGACCAAGAGAGAGAGAGAAAGAGAGGGAGAGAGAGGGAGGGGGGGGAGAGAGAGAGAGAAAAAGAAAGAAAGGAAGGAAGGAAGGAAGGAAGGAAGGAAGGAAGGAAGGAAGGAAGGAAGGAAGGAAGGAAGGAAGGAAGGAAGGAGAAGGAAAGAAAGAGAGAGAGAAAGAAAGATGGGGTGGAAAGCCATCTACAGATTAAACCAATCCCCCTTAGTTATCCTTCATAGAAATAGAAAAATCAATCCTGAAATTCAAATGGAAACATTAAAGATCCAGAATACTATAAGTAATCCTGAGCAACACTATAGGTATCACAATACCAGACTTCAAATACTACAGATCCATAGTAACAAAACTGCATGGTACTGGCACAAAAACATGTGGTCCCATAAAAGACCTAAAAATAAACCCACAATGCTAGACACATCTGATTTTTTTTTTTTTTTTGCAAAGTCTACATCGTAAGTTGAAGAAAAGACAGCCTCTTCAACATGGTGCTGTGAAAACTGAACATCCATATCCAGTTTCCAACAGAAGGCTGAAATTAGACCCCTACCTCCTACCCTGTAAAAATACCAATTCAAAATGAACCAAAGATTTTTCAGAGGTGGAGGGCAGAGGGGAGACTGGTGTTTGAACTCAGAGCATACCAGGTAGGCACTTTTATCATTTAAGCCCAACTCCCAGCTCTGGATCAAAGATCTTAATGTGAAATCTGAAACTTGGAAAACTACATGAGAATATAGGAAAAACACTGGAAAGACACAGCATAGGCATTTTCTGAACAGGATTCCAATAGCTCAGGAAATAAGAGCAAGAAATGACAAATGGGATTACATCCAATTTTTACAGTTTTTGCCCAGCAAAACAAACAACTACCAGAATGAAGAGACAACCCAGAATACAAAAATACCTTTAGCTAAGCTGGGCGCTGGTAGCTCATGCCTGTAATCCTAGCTACTCAGGAGGCTGAGATCTGAGGGTCACAATTCAAAGCCAGCCTGGGCAAGAAATCACCAGAAAATCGGAAGTGGCACTGTGGCTCTGGTAGAGCTCTAGCCTTGAGCTGAAGAGCTGAGGGACATCACCCAGGCCGAGTTCAAGCGCCACAACCAACCAAAAAAAAAAAAAAAAAGTACCATTAGCTATTCATCAGATAATGGATTAAATATTTAGAATATACAGAGTTCATAAAATTAACCAATAGAATAAGCCAATAAATGAGCAAGTGAGTTGAACATATAGTTCTTGGAAATAAAAACAGCTAATAAATACAAGGAAAGCTGTTCAACACCCTTTGCCATAAAAGAAATAAAAATGGAAACTACAATGATTCTCCAATCTCCCTCCAGTCAGAAGGGCAATCAGGAAACTAAGGCAGGAACCAATGGCTCAAACATGTAATACTAACTCAGATAAGGAGGCTGATCTGAGGATCAGCTAGAGCAGAAAAATAATTTTATCTCCAATTAACCAGCAAAAACTGGAAGCAGAAGTAGAGCTGTAGTTCAAATGGTAGAGTACCAGCCCTAGTACCAATTAAAGGAGAACATACTGGTCCTGAGTTCAAACCCCAGTACAGGCATACAAAAAAAAGTACTGGTCTTGATTTGAGGGGAAAAAAATGAAAAAAGAACCCTTATGTGCTGACAATGAGAATATAAATTAGTACAGCTATTATAGAAATCAGTGTGAAAAGTTCCTCAAAAACCTAAAAACACTGCCTGACACTAGTGGCTCACACCTGTAATCCTAGCTACTCAGGAGGTTGAGATCTGAGGATCACAGTTCAAAGCCAGTCTTGGCAGGAAAGTCCATGAGACTTATCTCTAATAAACGACCAGAAAACTGGAAGTGGCGCTGTGGCTCAAGTGGTAGAGCACTAGCCTTGAGCTGAAGAGCTAAGGGACAGCACCCAGGGCATAGTTCAAGCTCCACAACCAAAAAACCCTAAAAACAGCCTATCTTATGACCCCACAATAGTTTTGGGCATATATCCAAGGAAATGTTAACTCAATATGTAAAAGAGATACTTGCATATCCATAGTTATTACAGCAACCAATGAATAAAGAAATTGTAGAACAAACACAGCATGGCTATAAAGAAGAATAAAATGTCATTTACAGGGAATGAATGGGACTAGAGATCATATTGAGCAAGCTAATCTCAAAAGGCCATATAGTCCATGTTTTCATTCATATGCAGAATCCAGGGCTAAATGGTAGCAATAACAGGATATAAGCATCAAAGGAGGGCTGTTGGGGAGGGGGTGGATTGAGCGAGATGAGGGAGGAGAAGATACTGAGGAGTAAATGTGGTCAAAGTATTCTAGCTATTGTGATTTAGCATAAAATCTACTAAATATTGTTTATATAGAGGAAAGGGGGTTAAATCTACTAAATTCTGTTTCCTTATTTTAATTTAGTTAAAAAAAATATTAAGCGGGCTGGGAAGGTGGCTCAGTGGAGGAGCGCTTGCCTTGCATGCCTGAGGCCCTGGGTTCGATTCCTCAGCACCACATAAGCAAAAAGAAAAAAGCCGGAAGTGGCACTGTGGCTCAAGTGGTAGAGCGCTAGCCTTGAGCTGAAGAGCTGAGGGACAGCGCCCAGGCCCAAAGTTCAGGCCCCATGACCGGCAAAAAAATAAAATAAAATATAGGTAGTATAAACATTCTTTTATAACTTGCAAATGAAAAATCTTTTTCCTCAGAATTTCTTCTAAATTCAACCACTACATGGAAATAATCATTCCAGAGGGCAAGATTTTTAAGTATTGAAAAAAAAATTCATTTACAAGATTTTATGAGTCCCTGGGGGAAATGTCAAGCTGCCTGATTAACCTAGTACTAGTTTCCTAGGTTACTACCTCTCATGATGTCTTCCAGCCTTAGCATAGAAACAGTTACTGAAGGATGTAAAAAAAAGATGTCAAATTTGATAGTTAAAATACAAAGAATCACCAATTTGTTAGTAACTCACAAATAAAGGACAAAGAAAGAAAAAACAGAAAGAAAAAGGGCTGACAATTGATATCCCAAGACACCTCTATTTAAGTTTATGAATGATTTACTCTTCAGGGTAGCAGGACTTAATGTAAATGAAAGCAGAGGAAACTGTCGGCTGCACTGTGGTCCAACCAATAGCAGCACAGCTCCATCTTGGCTGTGCACTAGACTGCGTTACAAACAGACGATACCATCGCTTCAACAGCATCCTCCCAGACAAGAGGTAGGTTTATATGATCTCTCTCTTATTCAGCAGTCCATATCCTATGATGCAATGAGAAAATATTTTACCAGAAAATCAACAGAAAGCCTTACTCCTACTAAAAGACTTTAAAAAAAAAAACAATGTGCTTGATAGCATTTTATTATGAAAATATGAAGGCTGCCTTGTGCTGTCTGATAATACCATCTTACCATCTGTGCCTTAATGGAAAATTCATTACATTATGTATGAACCTGATCTTTATGCAGACTTTAAGTAAACCAAATGCATTTGATGTTAACTGGTTACTGCTAATTTCATTTTCTCGAGCAATTTCATTTCAGCAGTCCGATCTGGCTTAAACAAAGGATTTTTCTTAAAGAAAAATCTACACTGAAAGCAATCCCTGGACTAAAGCTTTCTGAGTAAATGTGTACATTTTACTGACTGGTAAAAAAGCAGTTATAAGGAAGTTTATTTTTAACCAATACAGGAAAATAGTTCAAATATTATTTGACTTTGAGAATGTCAAGAAATTCATTTTTTTACATGAAATTAAGGCCATAAAATATAACATTATGTGAGTTATACTGTAAGACAGAGCTTTAGATTTTCCTTAAGTTCTAATTAAAATTCCTCACAGATTATCTTACTATAAAATAGAAGTCATGCTGTTAAGTAAAAATGTTTTTAGATTTAATTTTTTGATGATACAAAACGTTATTTATCATAGCATTTATATTTAATGTTGAGTTATTCTTAAATTCATCCTGAGAACAAATACAAAGTAAGTTTTTTAAGATACAGTTTAAAATAAAAATGTTCTAAAGAAAAACTGATTAAGGGAGGAGGGCAATTCTAGCTAATAAGATTATTTCATGGCTCAGAGCAATCATTCGTGTCTATCAAAAATTAGTATCAGCCACTGACCAAGTTTCTAATTTTATAGTATTAGAGCATGAAAAGACTGTTAGTAGATGCTAGAGCTCCAAGATACTATGTCTATACCACCCTAAAGATCCAACTTCTTCCCTTTACTTTGCTCAGTATGTAATCTTTTCAACAGTTTTGGTTTTTCATAATATCTATTTTCTAGGTAAGCATTCATTCAGCTAGCATTAAGTAGAGTATCTCTCCGCCAGGTTTGGCACAAATAGGGTTAATTACCTAGAAACCATCCTGCTTGCCATACAAAATATGGGAGCCTAAAAGTAACAAGGAAATAAATTCATCAAACAATTCACAATACTTCATATATAAGGTATCTACAACAATTAGCATAAATAGAGATATCAGTTTCACCAATCCAACTTAGAGACAAGGCCCATGCCAAATAATTCAAACTTGAATTGAGTTGTTCTATATTTAAAAGCTATAATGATTAATCATATTTAAACAAAGCGATATGCTTAACAGCATCAAGGAATTCAAGGGGTTTTGCTTGGTTTTTGTCCATCTTGGGCCTGAACTCTGAGCCTGGGCGCTGTGCCTCAGCTCTTCAGCTCAAGGCTAGTTAGTGCTCTACTACTTGAGTCACAGCACCACTTCCGGCTTTTTCTGCTTACGTGGTGCTAAGGAATTGAACCCAGGGCCTCATGCATGCAAGGCAAGCACTCTACCACTGAGCCCCATTCCCAGCACGAATTCAAGTGTTTTTACCATGAATATAGCTAAGGCACAATTTTCTTTTCTGATCTGTCGTCAGTGCTCCAGAAGAATTCCAAGTTCTATTACCATAAGTACTTTTGAAATATGACGAAAAATAAGAAGGCAAGACACCAAAAGTACAAAACCAAAAGCATGCACTGCTAGCTGGGTATAATGTTATACTCCTGTGATCCAGCTACTTAAAAGGCAGAAGTAGAAGGATCACGGTTAGGGAGTCAACCCAGGCACAGTTAGTAGCTATCTATCTGAAAAACAAGCTTAAAAAGCAAAAGGAGTAGGGGTCTGTCTATGTGGTAGAGTGCCTGTCTAATAAGCACAAAGTACTGAGCTTAATACCTCGATACTGCAAATAAACATAAGCAATGAAAAATTATGCATTAAAATAATTAAAATATTTTTGCTTTAAAGCTTCCTGTTCCTGGGGCTGGGAAGGTGGCTCAGTGGTAGAGCGCTTGCCTTGCATGCTCGAGGCCCTGGGTTCGATTCCTCAGCACCACATAAGCAAAAAAGAAAAAACCGGAAGTGGTGCTGTGGCTCAGGTGGTAGAGTGCTAGCCTTGAGCTGAAGAGCTGAGGGACAGCATCCAGGCCCAGAGTTCAGGCCCCACGACCGGACCAAAAAAAAAAAAAAGCTTCCTGTTCCTAGAATGATTTTTTTTTCGGCCAGTCCTGGGGCTTGAACTCAAGAGCCTGGGCACTATCCCTGAGCTTGTTTTTGCTCAAGGCTAGTGCTCTACCACTTGAGCCACTTCGGGCTTTTTCTGTTTATGTGGTACTGAGGAATCAAATCCAGAGCTTCATGCATACTAGGCGAGCACTCTACCACTAAGCCACCTTCCCAGCCCCTATAATGAAATTTTAAAGGGGAAAATCTACAAAAATATAAAATTAGCCGGGCACTAGTGGCTCACACCTGTAATCCTAGCTACTCAGGAGGCTGAGATCTGAGGATTGCAATTCAAAGCCAGTCCAGGCAGGAATGTCCATGAGATTCTTATCTCCAATTAACCACTCAGAAAAGAAGTGGTGCTTTGACTCAAGCGGTAGAGTGCTAGCTTTGAGCTGAAGAGCTGAGGGACAGCACCCAGGCCCAGAGTTCAATCTCTACAACCAACCAAAAAAAACAAAAAACTAAAACTATAGATAGATTTCTACCCTTCCCCCCGACTTTTTTTTTTTTTTGCCAGTCCTGGGGCTTGAACTCAGGGCCTAGATACTGTCCTTTAGTTTTTTTGCTTAAAGCCAGCACTCTACCACCTGACCCACCGTGCCACTTCTGGATTTTTCTGTTTATGTGGCACTGAGGAATTGATTCAGGACTTCATGCATGCTAGAAATTCATGATACATTCCTAGCCCATTTTTTAAAATAAATTTTTATTGAGATTAAGTGATTACATAAATTTCACAGTATTGAGGGATAGTGATACTTAAAAGTTCAAACACATTTTAACTTACACAAAGCAAATTGTCATTCTCATGGTCTATAATGTTTGTGAATTCTATGAGCTTTGACAATACAACTATTTCTTCCACATGAGGTGATATGTACGTGTCTTTCCTTTTGTTTAGTGTAAGCTGTTCACTCCTTCCCTCTCATCACAGTCTTTGAGTTGCTTAGCTCATTTTCATCAATGTTCAGTCCAGTCCCCTATCTTTTAAAAACAAAAAAAACTTTTTCTCTTGCTTTCTGAAGGCATGTTCACAGTATTCAACTAATATAAACTTATAAACTATGGTCAAAAATATAGTCTCAGGGAAGTGGCACTGTGGCTCAAGTGGTAGAGTATTCACCATGAACTAAAGAGTTCAGGATGTGCCCAGGCCCAGAGTTCAAGCCCCATGACCAACAAAAATATATTTAGATCTATATAGATATATAGTCTCAGCCATTTGCCAGTGGCTCACACCCATAATCCTAGCTGCTTAGGAGAGGAGGCTGAGATCTGAGGATCAAGGTTCAAAGCCTGCCAAGCCAGTCAAGTCCTTCAGACTCATCTCCAATTAACTATCAAAATGCTGGAAGTCAAACTGTGGCTCAAGAGAGAGCCAGCCTTGAGCAAAATAGCTCAAGGACCTAGCATGCACATGTATACACGTGTACACATGCATGCACATATACACAAGTCTCAGAATAGGAGAAATGTGAACATTCTAATAGTATGTCTTGGGGCTGGGAAGGTGGCTCAGTGGTAAAGTGCTTGCCTTGCATGCATGAGGCTCTGGGTTCAATTCCTCACCACCACATAAGCAGAAAAAGCCGGAACTGGCTCTGTGGCTCAAGTGATAGAGCACTAGCCTTGAGCTGAAGAGTTGAGGCACAGTGTCCAGGCCCAGAGTTCAGGCCCAGGACTGACAAAAGAATAAAAAATAAAAAAATAGTATGTCTCTGTTTTACATATGAAGTAAGCCTAATCTTCCAATATTTAGTCTTTACCTTAAATTTAAAACAAAAGATTGGAGTCTTTCTTTTGCAGGGCTGGGAATGATGGCTGGCTTAGTGGTAGAGTGCTTGGCTAGCATGCATGAAGCCTTGGGCTTGATTCCTTAGTACTACATACACAGAAAAAGCCAGAAGTGGTGCTATGGCTTAAGTGGAAGAGTGCTAGCATTGAGCAAAAGAATCTCAGGAACAGTGCCCGTGCCCTGAGTTCAAGCCCCAGAACTGGCAAAGAAACAGCACCAACTGAGAGACTCCTCAGAGCTAGGATTACACGTATACAATATCACACCCAACTTTAGTAGTGCCAAGATTCTTAAAAGAGCTCCAAAAGCTGAATATTTTTAAGTATGTATGAGGTGACTCATATACCTTTACTCTTTTAGAGAAGCTGCATCAGAAAAATACCTGTTGTCATGAGGTGCTTGAAAATTGCTAAGCACCATGATTAAAATCAGAGTTTGCAACTCAGAAAAGATCAGATGCATTACCTATCAGGCATCCACACTAAGAAGCAACACTTACATTGTATTATTCTATGTCAATGACACCCCACAGCACAATGTAAAAGTGATACTTCCCAGAGTTGTACAAGGTACAAGCCCTGCTTTGCACAGAATGTTTTGAGGAGAAAGTACAAAGGATAAGTGGGTAATTTTAAAAAGACTGGGTCTATAGACAGCTTGAGATTACTGTAAAGGAAGTGATATGCTTAGCTACAGTCTATGTAATTTTGTGTATCCTTGAACAGAAAGCAAGAAATTCAATTACTGCCCATTACATCATCAGCTGAAGGATTTTTTTTAAAAGAAAACATGCATTTAAGCCTTTACTTTTGGCCTCACTTCCTAAGTTTATCCTTCAAAAGGCAGAAAGTATAAGTCTATCCAGAAAAGGAAAAGGATTTGCTAAGCAAATCACTTTGATTTAGAATAGAAAACTTAGAAAAGATGTTATCAAACCCAAGGTTTTAAAATTCTATTTGTTAAGAAAGTAAATTTAAATAATTGTATTGTTATGGTGTTGGAAGTTTTGGTGTGACAATAACATTGTACTTATATTTTACAATATTTCAATGTCTGGGATTTGCTTAAAGCAAATAATTTAGGGGTGGGGGGAGCAAGTTGAGTAGAAGGACCAGGAGTTCACAGATGAAGTGGTAGCATTAGCACCTTGAGTTTATAACAGACTGTTTTTGTAGTCCCTCAAAAGTTTTTTTGGTCAGTCATGGGGCTTGAACTCGGGCCTGGGAGCTGCCTCTGAGCTCTTCGGCTCAAGGTGAGCATTCTACCACTTGAGCCAAAGCACCACTTCTGGTTTTCTGGTGGTTAATTGGAGATAAGAGTTGACTTTCCTGCCTGGGCTGGCTTTGAACCACAATCTCAACCTCCTGAATAGCTAGGATTACACACACACAGATACCTCTAGTATTTGAAAAGTTGTTGGCACACAGTAGATAATAAAATTAGTTATAAGGGCTGGATACAGGTGACTCACACCTATAATACTAGCTGGGATCTAAGGGTAACAATTTAAAGCCAGCCTAAGCAGCAAAGCTTTTGAGATTAAAGTCTCTTATCCAGGCACAGATGGCTCATACCTGTAATTTGAATTTTAAAAAATGAGATTAGGAGGATGATCAGTTTGAGGCTAGCCTAGGCAGAAAAGTTCTAAAGTCCCCCTTTTCAATGGTAGGAATCACTCCCTAGCTCAAAAAAGGATTGGAGACATGGCTCCACCAATGAAAGAGAGCATGGCTGGGCCCCTGTGGCCCAAGCCTATAATGTCAGGAAGCTGAGAGCTGAGGATCTCAGTTCAAAGCCAGCCTGGGCAGAAAAGTCTATTAGACTTATCTCCAAGTACAGAAGTAGAGCTGTGCCTCAAGTGATAGAATGGTAGCGAAGAGCCAAAAAAAAAAAAAAAAGAAAGAAAGAAAAAAAGAAAATGCTTAGGGAGCTCTGCCCCCCGAGTTCAAGCCTGGCATACACACACACAGCTGCAAACAGTACCACCAGTACCACCAGAGTAAGAGAAAACTCTCTTCATTAAACCACCCAGCCTAAATTTTATTTTATCCTTATTCTCAAAATTGTCATTTGACTTCGATTTCTCCATTTTTTCATTTAGCTACAATTTCCTGGCTCAGATCACCTGTCACCATAGGTAAAAGGAGTGAAAATAAGACAGAAATACACAGAAGCTGAGAAGCCACAAGGGTAATGACAAAGCTTTCCAAGAAGCAATTTAAAGGACACAACCTTCAACTGCCAAGAGATTTTCAGATAGCAGCTCAATGACCAGTACTGTGATCAAGTTTTAAACCAAGCCATGTTTGCTTCCTCACATAAACTATACTTTACATTCATATACAACTGATTTCCTTAGATGAACCTTTTTTGGGGGGGTTGGGAGTAGGGGAGAAGCAGTTCTAGTTCTAGGGCTTGATCTCAGGGCCTGGGCACTGTCCCTGAGCATGTTTGCTCAAGGATAGCACTCTACCACTTGAGCCACAGCGCCACTTCTAGCTTTTTCTGTTTACTGAGGAATAGAACCCAGGGCTTCATGCATGCTAGGCAAGCACTCTACCACTAAGCCAACTTCCCAGCCCCTATATATTAATCTTAAACACAACTATTTAGTTAACAAGTGAGACATACAAAGCTAGAATACCAGCCAGGCACTGATGGCTCATGCCTATAATCCTAGCTATTTGGGAGATTGAGATATGAGAAGCAGGGAAGAAGCCAACCTGGCAGGGAAAATTTGTCACTCTTATCTCCAGTTAATCACCAAAAAGCTGGAAGTATAGCTGTGGCTCAAGGGGTATAGCACTAGCCTTGAGCACAAAAGCTCAGGAACGGCACCCAGATCCTGAGTTCAAGCCCCAGGACCAGCACAAAAAAAGTGATACTAGAGTATCACTTATCACTTAAATATTCAGCATAGCCAGGCACTGGTGGCATACACGTGTAATCCTAGCAACCAGGAGGCTAAGATCTGAGGAACACAGTTCTGAGCCAGCCCAGGCAGTAAGACTCTTATTTCCAATTAATCACCAAAAAACCAGAAGTGGTGATGTGGCTCAAAGTAGTAGAGCACTAGTCTTGAGCAAAAAGGCTCAGGGATAGAGCCCAGGCCCTGAGTTCAAACTTCATAAACCTCCCCCCCCCAAAAAAAAAAAAAAAATTGCTGGGCGCCAGTGGCTCTACTTATAATCCTAGCTACTAAGAAGACTGAGATCTGAGGATGAAGGTTCAAAGCCAGCCCTGGCAGGAAAGTCTGTGAGACTCATCTCCAATAAACAACCAGAAAACCAGAAGTGGCTCTGTGGCTCAAGTGATAGAGTGCTCACCTTGAGCTGAAGAGCTGAGGGACAATGCCCAGGCCCAAAATTCAAGCCCCATAACCGACAAACACACACACACAATCAGCAGAAATATACCAAAAAAAATCAAAAAAACAGTTTGGTCATTAATTCTATTATACAATAAAAATATCCATGGGCTGGGATGGTGGCTCAGTGGTAGAGTGCTTGCCTTGCATGCCTGAGGCCCTAGGTTCGATTCCCCAGCACCACATAAGCAAAAAGAAAAAAGCTGGAAGTGGCTCTGTGGCTCAAGTGGTGGAGCATTAGCCTTGAGAGCTGAAGACCTAAGGGACAGCGCCCAGGCCTAGAGTTCAGGCCCCACGACCGGACCCAAAATAAATAAATAAATAAATAAAATAAAAATATCCATAGCTGGGCTCTGGTAGCTCATTCCTGCAATCCTAGTTATACCAAAGGCTGAAATCTGAAGGAAGGATCACAGTTCAAAGACCTTAGCAGAAAAGTCCTTAAGACTCCATCTCCAAAATAACCAGCAAAAAGCTGGGCTGGAGGAATAGGCTCAGTGATAGAGCACTAGCCAAAGATACAAACCCAACAAACTCCAGAGGACCAAAAAAGAATATTCACATCACCTATGTAAACCTATTCTCTACTTTTTTACAGTTTCAAAGGAGAACACAAGAAGTGAAGTCTCTAAGAATGGCTTCTAATCACTGGAATGAAACTACTACATCTGTTTATCAGTACCTTGGTTTTCAAGTTCAGAAAATCTACCCATTTCATGATAACTGGAATACTGCCTGTTTTGTCATCCTGCTTTTGTTTATATTCACTGTGGTATCCTTAGTAGTACTGGCTTTCCTTTACGAAGTGCTTGACTGCTGCTGCTGTGCAAAAAACAAAACGGTGAAAGATCTGAAGAGTGAACCTAACCCTCTCCAAAGTATGATGGACAACATCAGAAAACGTGAAACTGAAGTGGTCTAGACGACAGAAGATGAATAAAACCTTCAACAGCCTTTAACATCTTCTGAGGAAAAAAGTTCCTGATTATAAAGTTCCTGTTAGAACACTGATTCTGACTTTGAATGGTTAAGATTTATAGTAAAAGCAAAAGACACGTATTCACTTTGTGTATATCCCTTTCATTAAATATACAGTAAAACTTCATAAATATAACAGTAGTGATCTATTTGATGTGATGCAAAAAAAAAAACTGAATTAAGATTCTTAGGATTCAGGGCTGGGAAGGTGGCTCAGGAGGAGCCATCTTGCATGCATGAAGCCCTGGGTTCCATTCCTCAGCACCATATAAGCAGAAAAAGACGCTATGGCTCAAGTGGTAGAGCACTAGCCTTGAGCTGAAAAGCTAAGGGACAGCACCCAAGGCCCAGAGTTCAGGCCCCACAACCAAAACCAAAAAAAAAGATTCTTAGGATTCAGTAATGAGTGGTAAAGATAAACTGGGAATTTTAAGTACAGCTCCTGATGCTAAAGTAATTTATACCTAAACAACAAAAATGCTACTTAAACTATTTCCAAATCCAGAGAAAAATACTTCTACTTACAAATGTCTCTATTTATTCAAAAGGAATACTTTCTAATTTATTAAAGACATATACATATATTTGTTTTTTTGTGCCAGTCCTAGGTTAACTAGAGATAAGTCTCTCAAGGACTTTCCTGCCTAGGCAGATGTCAAACCATGATCCTCAGATCTCAGCCTCCTAAATAGCTAGAATTACAGGTGTGAGCCACTAGCACCCAGCTAATAGGCAGCATTCTTTTCATCAGTCCTGGGGCTTGAACTCAGGGCCAGGGCACTGTCCCTGGGCTTTTTTTTTTTTTTTTTGGTCGGTAGTGGGGCTTGAACTCTGAGCTTGGCGCTGTCCCGGTACTCTTCAGCTCAAGGCAAGTGCTCTACAGCTTGAGCCACAGCACCACAAGAGTCTCCTGGACTTTCCTCCCCAGGCTGGCTTTGAACCGCGATCCTCAGATCTCAGCCTCCTGAGTAGCTAGGATTACAGGCATGAGCCACCAGCGCCCAGTTTCCCGGGGCTTCTTTTGCTCACTAGCACTGTAGCACTTGAGCCACAGTACCACTTCCAGTTTTTTCTATTTATGTGGTACTGAGGAATTGAACCCAGGGCTTCATGCATGCTTGGCAACCACTAAGCTACATTGCCAGTCTCAAAGACAATGTTTTTAATGTCGTAAGTTTCACATAGGATTAATATGAAAAAGGCTCCCCTCAAAAAGTTGAGAATGGTGGCTCATGCCTATAATCCCACTCAGGAGTCTGAGATCTGAGGGTCATAGAACTTGAAGCCAGCTCAGGCAGTAAAGTCTTATCTCCAATTAATCAACAAAAGCTGGAAGTGGAACTGTGGCTCAAGTGGCAGAGCACAAACTTTGAACAAAAAAAAGCTCAGGGAGGGGCTGGGAAGGTGGCTCAGTGGTAGAGTGCTTGCCTTGCATGGATGAGGCCCTGGGTTCAGTTCCTCAGCACCATATCAGCAGAAAAAGCCGAAATGGCTCTGTGGCTCAAGTGGTAGAGTACTAGCCTTGAGCTGAAGAGATGAGGGACAGCGCTCAGGCCCAGAGTTCGGGCCCTACAACAACAACAACAACAAAAAAAAAAAGCTCAGGGACAATGCCCAAGCCCTGACTTCAAGAGAATGAACATACACAAAAAATGCAACTTACAGGTGGGGTCCTCTTGGCACATGGTGGATAACAAAATCTGTTATAAAAGCTAGGTGCTGGTGGCTCTAGACCTAGCTACTTAGGAAGCTAAGATCTAAGGATTGCAGTTCAAAGAAGCCTTAGCAGGAAAAGTCCATGACATGGTGATTAATTTCCAATTAACCACCAAAAAGAAGGAAGTTGAACTGTTGCCCAAGGAGTAGCATAACTAGCCTTCAGTAAAAGGCTAGAACTAGAGGCACATAGCTCATGTCTCAGCTTTGAGTAGAAAAACAATGTAAAACCTAGACCAGAGGTTAAGCCCAAATACTAGCACACAAAAATAGTAACAGCCACCAAAAACAAAAAAACAAACCATGGCTGGAGGTGTGGCTCAGATAGGCAGAGAGTGCCAGCCTAGCAAGCAAAAAGCCTTCAAAGCCTTCAGTTCACACTTCAATACTGCCAAAGTGAAAAAATTAAGTTTTTAGGTCAGAAGATATAACTCAAAAGCAGAATGCTTGTCTAGCTTGTATAATGTCATGGATACAATCCTGAGGAGGAGGGGATGTTAATATTCACTGTGAGTAAAGGGTACTGAGATTAAAGCTAAACCTAATATATATACTAATAAGCCCTGAGGAGTTCAAATCCCAGTACTGGGGGAGGAGGACCAGTTATTATACAATTCAATTTATAAGAATTGCCCAGGGGCTGGGAAGGTGGCTCAGTGGTAGAGTGCTTGCCTTGCATTCATGAGGCACTGGGTTCGATTCCTCAGCACCACATAAGCAGAAAAAGCTGAAAGTGGTGCTGTGGCTCAAGTGGTAGAGCACTAGTGTGCTAGAGCACTAGCCTTGAGCTGAAAAGCTGAGGGACAGCGCCCAGGCCCAGAGTTCAGGCACCATGACTGGCAAAAAAAAAAAAAAAGAATTGCCCAGAAAAGGCACAAAGTAATTAATTATGGGTTACCTAAGGCTGGAACACATCACAACTTTTATGAGGATGAAAATGGCTGGGAGCTGGTAGCTCATGCCTATACAATCCTAGCTACTCAGGAGGCTGAGATCTGAGGATCATGGTTCAAAGCCAGCCCAGGCAGGAAAGCCCATGAGACTCTCCAATAAAACACCAGAAAAACAGAAGTGGCGCTGTGATTCCAGTGGTAGAGCACTAGCATTGAGCTGAAGAGCTGAAGGACAGTGCCCAGGCCCAAAGTTCAAGCCCCTAGACTGTACTAATAACTGCACAGCTCCACACTTAAAAACTGTAAGTTATATACTCAAAATAAGTGAAGTGTATGGTATATAAACTAACCTCAATGAAGTCTTTTTTGTGAATGTGTCAATCCTATAACAAACTCAAGAGCCTGGGCCCTGTCCCTCAGCAGTTGTGCTCAAGGTTAGTGCTCCACTTGAGCCACCACTCTACTGCCAGTTTTTTGCTGGTTAACTGGAGATTCTCATGGACTTTCCTGCCCAGGCACGCTTCAAACCATGATCCTCAGAACTTAGCCCCCTGAGTAACTAGGATTACAGGCATGAGCCAGTGGTACCCAGTGAGTCTTTTTTTGTTGTTGTTAAGTTTTAACAGGAATTTTAATATGATAGGGTTAAAGTAGAAAGAAATAAAGAGGGAAATATTTCCTGCTCTCCTTGCAGGAAAAAGGAATTAGAAAGACTCCAGAAAGCACTGTTAACGAGATAATAGCCTAACATCTTTATGGCTTAAATCCTTCTCATTCCATAACTCACATTTCACAAAGTGTCTAAAATCATGAATGCTGAACTGTTACAAAGGAAAAAAAAGTTTTAAAGTATAAAGCATTTCACTAACCAGAACTTTGTTTTGATCCTGATGACCCTCCATGTTCTACCTTTGCTTTCTTCTTCTTTGATGATGAAGAATCCGAAGGTAATGTACGTTTTTCTACCACAGGAGTAGAAAGAGCTCGTTTCTTAAACAGTTCCCGTTCTCTCAGTAAACTTGGATCCATAATGCTGCAAAGACAAAAATTAACATTTTTAATGTAGATTTAGGTCACTCAACCCTAGATGCCAAATTCAAACACTTCAATAGCTATTTCCCAAATAACTCTACCTCTTATGATTAGTTTTGTAGCATGTTGCTTATTATCTGTCAAGTATTAGGTTACACAGTAGTAGACAAAATTATTCCCAAAAGCTGTGCTGTCCGCTATAGTAACCACTAGCAACAAGTACCCAACAGGCATCTGAAATGCAGTTAGAACTGAGATATACTATAAGTATAAAATATATGCCAGATTTCACTCTTTGTACAAAGAAAAAGGATGCTTTTAGTTACTAGTAAGACATTTTACATTAATTACACAAAAGTGACATTTTGGATATACTAGGTTCAGAACTAAAATTTCACCAATTTTCACTTTTTTTTTTTTTTTTTTGATCAGCCTTGGGGGCTTGAACTCTGGGCTTGGGCACTGTCCCTGCGCTCTTCAGCTCAAGGCAAGCACTCTACCACTTGAGCCACAGCGCCACTTCCGGTTTTCTAGTCATTTTTTGGAGATAAGAGTCTCACAGACTTTCCTGCCCAAGCTGGCTTTGAACCTCGATCCTCAGATCTCAGCCTCCTGAGTAGCTAGGATTACAGGCGTGAGCCACCGGCACCCGGCTTCAATTTTCACTTTTTAAAAAAAATATAGCTACTGAACTGGGCATGGTGGCACACAGGAGAATCATAGTTCAAGGTCAGCCAGTGGAAAAATTAACAAGACCCTGTCTTAACAAAACAGTGCAAACAACAGGTAGGGTTGGAGAACTGTGATCTGAGAATCACTCCAGTGCAAAAATCAAAAAGACCTTATCTAAAAAATAACAACAACAACAAAAAGCCTGAGGTCACGCCTCAAATGTGAGGTCCAATTCAAACCGCAGGACAAGAAAGAAAAAAAAAGTAGAAAAGATATGTATATATAGCTATCAAAAATTAGAAAACTTCTGATTTGAAGGAGGTAGTACTAAATAACCTCTTCACTTTTCCTCCCAGTCTAACACTACAATTCTGAGCCATTTCAATACAATACAGAAAAATCCTAGCTACTCATGAGGCTAAGATCTGAGGATTGGGATCCAAAGCCATCCCGAGCCTTAAAGTCCCTGTGAGACTCTTACCTCCAATTAATCACTCAAAAACAGGAAGTGGTGCTGTGGGTCAATTGATAGAACACTAACCTTGAGCACAAAAGAGGCTCAGGGACAGTGTCCAGGTCCTGAATTCAAGCCCCACAATGGACAAAAAAACTAAAAACATTCCTCTTTCCTTCTCCCTAGGTCCTTATAAGAAAAGAGGGTAGCCTAGGAAGAGCCCTAGATTCCTGAATGGATATGACAGTTAAAGAGTGTTAATTAAACTGGCGGGGGCTGGGAAGGTGGCTCAATGGTAGAGCGTTTGCCTTGCATGCATGAGGCCCTGGGTTCTATTCCTCAGGACCACATAAGCAAAAAGAAAAAAGCCAGAAGTGGCGCTGTGGCTCAAGTAGTAGAGCGCTAGCCTTGAGCTGAAGAGCTGAGGGACAGTGCCCAGGCCCATAGTTCAGGCCCCATGACCGGACTCCGCCCGCCCCCCCCCCCCCCCCCCCCCTGCCAAAAAAAGGAGTGTTAAACTGGGAAGAAAAGATTTTGGGGTTGTTGTTTGTCAGTTGTGTGGCTTGAACTCTGGGCCTGGGCACTGTCCCTCAGCTCTTCAGCTCAAGGCAAGCGCTCTACCACTTGAGCCACATCACCACTTCTGGTTTTCTGGTGGTTAACTGCCTGGGCTGGTTTGAACTGTGATCCTCAGATCTCAGCCTCCTGAGTAGCTAGGACTACAGGCATGAGCCACTGGCACCCGGTCGGAAGAAAAGATTATTAAACATATAGATTACACCTGACAAACCCGTAGCAAATTCCAACGATCACAAATTGAAATGTACTGCATGAATATACATGTAAGTACTAGCATCACTGCTTAGCAACAGGCTACACTGAGGGCAGATGTTTGTCCTCATCATGTTAAGGTGAATTGGGAGCTGCCACTGGGCATCTTAAGAGTATAGTGAAAGCTGGGTGCTGGTGGCAGCTCACACCTGTAATCTTAGCTATTCAGGAGGCTGAGATCTGAGGACTGAAGTTTGAAGCTAGCCCAGGCAACAAAGTCCGTGAGACTCTTATCTCCAATAAACTATTCAGAAAAGGCCAGAAGTGGCACTGTGGCTCAAGTGGTAGAATGCTAGCTTTGAGCAAAAAGCAGCTAAGGGGCCGGGTGCCGGTGGCTCAGGCCTGTAATTCTAGCTACTCAGGAGGCTGAGATCTGAGGATCAAGGCTCAAAGCCAGCCTGGGCAAGAAACTCCGTGAGACTTTTATCTCCAATAAACCACTAGAAAACCAAAAGTGGTGCTGTGGCTCAAGCAGTGGAGCACTGGCCTTGAGCTGAAGAGCGCACAGATAACGCCTAGGCCCAGAGTTCAAGCCCCACAACCGACTAAAAAAAAGCAGCTCAGGGACAGTGCCCAGGCCCTGAGTTCAAGCCCCAGGACCGGCAAGTGTGCACATAAACACACACACCGAAAAACAAGTATAGTGAAGCAAGTGGCTACCCAGGGGAAAAAAAGCCAAATTATATATATATATATATATATATACACACACACACACACACACACACACACACACACACACACACACACATTTAGTTTAAAAATCCTAAATAGTAACACCTGGACTTTAAGCACAAGCTACATACTTCTAAGTAAAAAAATGACCTCTAAATGGCACTACCCTAATTGGTTTCACAAGCCTGTGATAAATGTCTTGCTTGTGAGGCACTTTGAAAGGTTGTAGAAAGTGCTGGCAGTGCGGAGTACTTTGCTTAAAAAACAGTAAGAGTGGTAGAGGGGATGAGATAGTTTGGAATATATTGTAAACATGTGTAGAACTGAAAGGATGAAATCTCCCCTGTAAAACTAACGTAAGCTAACTAAAAACAGCAAAATGGGCATTAAGGTGTGAAAAATAATCTAAGCACTGCAATAGTGTAAACTTAAATAAGGAACACCTGCTTTCTCTCAGTTTCATTTCCTAACAGCCATGTAGCGGCCTAGGCTGTCCACTGCTTTAAAAATCAACTTGGTCCAAGACAAAATGGTGACAATTTATAGGACTGTGGATGGCTAGGTCAACTTAGGAGTCAGGGTAGCCTGCTTCACACCCCCAGCTACGAGAAAAGTAACAAAAAATAATCTTAACACCTATTCTCTAACAGAGTCATAGGCATTGCATAATCAGCACTTAGGCTTTTGTAACTTGCACAGCTTTATTTAATGTGTTAAAAAGCACTGTTGAAAAGGCAGATTGTCTTTACAAGGTGCAACAGGAATGTTTTAGGATTTTACAATCTGCTTCTTCTCATTTGTGAGCTTGTCTCCAAGCCTATAATAATTTTATTTTGTATCAGATCCAACCAAACTAATATAAACTGGAATAATAGTTGTGTGGCTTTACCATTTACTAACAAACTTCTATGCATATGGGGGAGGGGTGTGTGTTTTGCTGCCACACAGCTAATCCTCCAGACACCAGAGCTGGAATGTAATGTCTCTAAAACAAAGGCGACCTCTCTCTGCCCTCCCAGAACGAACACTCCGTGGCACATAGGGCAGGTTTTTCTCCTTCAATGTTGGATACTACACCTAACTTTTCCTCTTTTTCACATACTACTCAGTACCTGTACTGATTTCTGACCTGTATGTCTCTCCAAGGGAGGGGGGGGGGGAGGGGGACCACCAAAACTCAAAAGGGCCTGGCACGTTCCTCCGTGGCTGGATACTCGACTCAGATCACCCACCTTCCCTCCTTCCCGGCCTGACTCTGAGGTGCTGGCCAGGCACTTGAGCACTCAGCTTTTCATAACCTGGAGCTGGGGGTGCCACCAATTGCCTCCCACTTCAGGGGCAGAAAATAGGATCCCAGCAGCAAACACCTACTGCAAATTACAGTCCGGGCTCAGTAGAAAGCAGGTCTTCAACAGGCAGCTGGGTGAAGCCGGGGCGCACCCTGGGGCTCCCCAGCCTCCCCCCCACGCCCTGTCTGGGCTCCAGCTCACGTAAACTTGGGAGCTCGGGAGGCGGTACAACCAACTGTGAATTCTCTTTTTCCAACCCAAAAGTTTGCTCCCTTCACCTCCGGCCTATAAAAGACCACGCCAGCGTACGGTGCGGGACGCGGGGAGCCGCAGGCGCCGCCTCCCGGGACGAAGACACGCTCGTCCCCCTGGGCAGAGGCGACGCAGGCAGCACCAGGCCGCGGCCGGGCCCTCGCCCGAGGCCCCTCGCCGGGCCCCGCGCCCCCGGGCGGTCGCGGCTCGTACCCAGGGCGAAGACAGCTCGCCACTCGCGTCGTCTGTGTCCCGGCCAGCCGCCGCCTCCTGCGGCTCCTCAGGCCTCCAGTCGCCCCTGCTCAGGCCCAGCGCGTCTGCCTCCCGTCAGGAGTCTCACCACTCGCAACGGCAGCGGAGGGAGAGCGCGGCGGACACCCCAGCTCCGACGACGTCTCGGCCCGGACTGCGCCCGCCACTTCCTGGTCTGGCTACTAATCACTTACTCCCAGCAGCCAACGCGACGGCCAGCACCGCCCCGAGCGTCCTTGCGTCACGGCGCACCTTCCTAGAAGCATCCTGAACGGAGAAAAGGAGGCGTCCTGGGCGTCCTCGGTCTCCATGGCAACAAGAGGGCGTGGGGGAGGACCAGCAAAGAACCTGCTTCAAGTGGGAGATGCTAACGCAGATTGAAAACAGTTTTCTTTTTCTCTTTTTTTTTTCTGCCACTCCTGGGGCTTGAACCCTAGGCTGGGGCACTGTCTCTGAGCTTCTTTTGCTCAGTGCTAACAACTCTACCTCTTGAGACACAGCACCACTTATGGCTTTTTCTGTTTATGTTGGTACTGAGGAATCGAACCCAGGTCTTCATGCATGCTAGACAAGCACTCTACCACTGAGCCACATTCCCAGCCCAGTTTTTTTGTTTTGTTTGTGGTTTTGTTGTTGTTGTATTTGTTGGGTTTGGGGTTTTTTTTGTTTTGTTTGTGGTTTTGTTTTGGGTTTTTTTGTGGTTTTGTTGCTGTATTTGTTGGGTTTGTTTTGTTTTGGTCTGTTGTGGGGCTTGAACTCAGGTCCTGGGCTCTGTGCCTGAGCTTTTTCCTTCAAAGCTAGTGCTCTACCAGTTTGAGCCACAGCTCCACTTCCAACAGTTTGCTTAAATAGAAATTCAAAAGTTTGCAGGGAGCTTGTGGCTTACATCCTAGCTACTCAAGAGGCTGAGATCTGAGGACCTCTGTTGGAAGCCAACCTGGGCAGGAAAGTCCATGAGACTCTTACCTCCAATTAACCACTCAAAAACTGGAAGTGGAGCTGTGGCTCAAAGTGGTAGAGTGCTAGCCTGGAGCAAAAAAGCTCAGAGACAGTGCCCAGGCCACAAGTTCAAGGCCCTCTGCTTACAAAAAATAAAGGGCAGGGGGAGGGAGGAAAATCTTGTCATTCATGCCTGTAATACTAGGCACTAAGGAGGCTGAGAGGTGAAGACTGCAGAGTTCAAAGCCAGATCAGGGAAGGAAAGTTTGTGAAACTATTTTTCAATTGCCCCCTTCCCCTACCCCCAAAAAAAGCTGGAAGTGGAGTGATGGCTCAAGTGTTAGAGCACTAGCCTTGAACAAATAAGTTCAGGGACAGCATCCAGGCCTTGAGTTCAAGTCCCAGGACCCACACAAAATATAAAAATAAAAAGGAGAATTGGCCAAGCTCCAGTGCCTCATGCCTGTTCCTAGCTACTCAGGAAGTTCAGATGTGAGGACGGGGGTTCAAAGCCAGCACACACAAGAAAGTTCATGATACTCTTATCTCCAATTAGCCACCAGAAAACTGAAAGTGGGGCTGTGACTCAAAGTGATAGAGCAATAGCCTTTAGCATGTTAGAAATACACAGTGACTCTCTGGTGTCAAATGGATACAGGCGATTTCATCAAGGCAATTTACTTTTGCAGGAAAGTGTACAATATAGTTACTGTGCCCAGGGCACAGAACAGTTTGCGAGGTTGTTTTTTTTTAGTAAGTTTTTTTATTGTGAAAATACCGTACAGAGGGGTTACAATTACGTGAGCAAGGTAATGAGTACAATTCTTATTAAGCATTGTTTCCTCTTCCTTTGTTTTTCCCCTACCATCTCTTGCCTCTCATCTCCACGACTACACTGCCCCCTACCCCCCACCAAAGTTGTAAAGTTCGTTTTTCGATAGCATCTTGTACATCTCATTGTTGCAATGGGTGCACCTGTATCCCTATTTAAACTATTTGTATTTTCCCTTCCCCTCCACAAATTATACCAACATCAAATACAGTGAAAACAGAGGTTATACCATGGGGGAGGGACATACAAAGCAACAAAAAAAATCACCTTATAACTACATTAGAAACATTAGCAAGAAAGAAAATAAAAACACTTGAGTCCTTATCTTGAGGTTCATTTCACCTAACATCAACTTATCTGACCTTTTCTGCATTTCTCAGAGATATATTACTTATTGCAAATAAGGGAAACCATGGGACCTATGTTTCTTTGGGCCTGGATTACTTCATTTAATTTTTTCCAAGTCTTTCCATCTCCTAACAAATGGGGCAATGTCATTCTTTCTGATGGAGGCATAGAATTCCATTGTGTATATCTACAACATTTTCTTGATCCATTCATCTACTGAGGGGCATCTGGGTTGGTTCCTTATCTTAGCTATGGTAAATAATGCTGCAATAAACATAGTCGTGCTGGTAGCTTTAGTGTGGTCTTGTTTGTGAACATTTGGGTAAATGTACAAAAGTGGGATTGCTGGGTCATAGGGAGCTCTATGTAGAGTCTTGAGGAACCTCCATACTACTTTCCAAAGTGGTTGAACAAGTTTACACTCCCACCAACAATGGAGTAAGGTTCCCTTCTGTCCACTTTGCAAGGTTTTTATCCCAGTTTAAACCCACCCTCCTCCTTGTCAAGGAGTTAGGCTCACATTCTAAGTATAATTGATTACCAAAGCTAGAAAGGGGACTATTTAATTTTTTTCACAGGTTTACATTTTATTCCCATCACAGCTGGCTGGGAGCAGGGCTGGCAACAGAGTAGCTGGTGGATAAATAGCTGGAGGAGGTTGAGTAGGCCAATGGAAAGCTCCCACTCAACGTGGGATCTTATTCTTTTTAATCCATTGATAAAGATTACTCTCTCTATCAAGCAGCACCCTTGGTAGCGGCAGTTTCTTTTAACTCCTTTGATAAAGGCTATGTCCCTAACTTGGCTAACCACCACACCTGGTTGTTGTTAGCACGCAGTGAGCCTATGTGACTCCACCCTGATTAAACATCCATCTTGTTTACAAGTTTAGGAAAAATGTGGATTGCAAGTCTCCGATAACAGAGCCAGGTGGACACATCAGTAACAAACACATATGTAACAGCCCCCCACCAATGAATGCAAACCCCACCTTCTTCCCTCCCCCCCCACAAACTGGCATGCCAAAACTAACCAAAGTGGTAGGTTAGTTTAAACAACTGCTTAGGGATAAGTTGTAAACTCACTGGTCACCTGCGTGTGGCCCAACATAACTGCAATTTTGTGTGAGTGTTGCAATGCTATTGGCCACCTGCGTGTGGCCAGCCTAACCTGCATGGCCTGTTCCTATAAAAATTAGCCTGTGCAGCTGGGCAGGGTTCGCTCTCTGCTGAGGCGCCCTGAGCGGTCAGTCTGTTTCTAGATGCTTGGTGTGAAATATAGCTTTGTCTGACTTTCATTTTGTTTCAGTCTCGTTCCTTTGATCACGGACCCCAATATTGGGGGGGGCATCCCGATATCTTGTGGGCTCGTCAGGGATCAAACGATGAGGACTGAGCCAGCATCAGAATTTCTGAGAAAAACCTCTGGAGGTAAGAGGGGTTTCGAATCCCCTGTACTGTTTCTGGGTTTGCGGAGCTCTGGGGGTGGGGGGCCCCACCGGGGAGAAACTGGATGCAGTATTGTTCCCCAGGGCCAGAGTGGATGTGGAGATGTCCTATCCCTCCATCTGCAGATCGCCAGGAAGAGGTTCGAGTCCCCCCGAGGCAATCAAGGGACCAGCAGGTTACATTTCTCAGTTGGGATTACATCTTAGTTGTTCCTGGGCTTAATTTCCTGCCAAAGAGAAGGAGACACTGTGTCTGTCTTTGTCTTGTCTTTGTGGTGTCTGCTGTGTTGTTTGTCATGTTTTAGGAAATGAGGCAGAAAGGTAGTAAGGAATCTGTGATACCCCTAGACCTTGCCTTAAGATCTTAGCCTCAGGCCTTGGCCTACAGAGTCTGAGCATGGGGGAGAAGCTGCCAGTCTGAGGGGACAGCCACTACAGACCTATTTCCCTTGCCCCAAGATGACTGGGAATTCTCTGCCTTAGAAGGCCGCTGGGTCAACGTTTGCAGGAGAGAGGGTTCGAGTCCCCTGTTAAAATGGATCTGAGTCAAATCCCACCTGTAAATGATGGTGAGATGTTGCCCCATTCACTGAGACCTGATTTTGTCTTTGTGGCCAGTTGTCTGTCTTGTTTATTTTGATGTGTTTTCTGTTCTGTTTTCTGCAGTACGGAAGTTCTGGGTGAGAGTGGCAGGCTCACTCAGCAGACTCTGGATTTAGCTTGCTGAGTGAGAGCAGCACAGAGTTCTGGTAGGGATGAGCTGAGGGCCCATTAGGCCCCAACTTAGCCTTCAGTTGTTGTTTTGTTCTGTTTTAGAATTGGTACCAGTTTTAAATGTGGATCCTTGGTTTTTGTGTTTGTGTTTTTGTTATTTATTTGAACATCTCTGGGGAAGTATATTCCAGCCTCCGGCTGGGCCCTGTCACAGACCTGCTATGTCCCCCTCCCTGTGGGGCATGGAAGGTTGCTGGACCAGTTTGGTCCTCTGCAAGCCTCAGGATGTGGAAGCCGCCAGAGGGGAGGGTGTAGAAGGCTGTGTGCCTGGTTTAGACTTTTCAGCTGGTCCTGACAATGTAACATTTTTGTAAAGTGCTCTTGTCTAAAATTGGGTAAAAATCAGGCCAGTTTAGTTTGAGGTGGACCCTCCCCCCCACCCCAGCCTTCCTCCAACTGAAGGTATTCAAAAAGGCCAATTAGTAAAATACCTGGCTAACCAAGCAAGCTCTGGGGGAAAAAAGATGGCCTAGAAAAAGTGCTTTGTTAAAGTCTTGTCTTAAATTTTTGTCATCTGCAAGAGTAAGATTGGCAAAAAAAATCTCGCCACTGAATTTTAGAAAATGTACGTACAACTGACTTTCATTTTTGCACGCTTTAAGATCTGTGAGTGTGTGAACATGTTCAAGATAAAAATTGTCAGCATGCTGTAACAATTGGGTAAGTTTAAAATTCAAACGGTTATGAAGGTTGGACGTTATCAAAAAATTTTAAAGAATTTTCACATTGTTTTAAATCGCTTTTTAAGGATTCTTTAACTTGAAAATTAAAAAATCGAGTATCTTAAAATCTGGTATTTTAGAATGCATAAG